CCACCGCAACGAAGGGGGAGCTGAGAGAAAACTTCCGCACTTTCAACCTCGGGACGGGAAATGGCAATTCAGTCACCGATGTCGTCGAGGCCATGGAGACGGTGAGCCAGAAACCGATCCCGAGGAAGGCGGTGGGAAGGAGAGCGGGGGACGTGGGGTCTTGCGTTGCCATGGCGGGCAGGAGTCAGGAAGAGCTGCAGTGGAAGACGGAGAAGACGTTGCGCGATGCTTGTGAGGATATCGTGAACTTCCTCCGGGTGAGGGAAGAAGAACAAAAGCTGCAGCAGGGGCAAGGTGTTGTGGTGGCGGAAGTGTCCTCTTGAGCAAGTGGCCCAGGCTTTCAATTGCCCTTTTGGGGCATTCTCCCTTGGGAAGGAGTTGGTTTTGTGATGCATAGCCGGGTTGGCATCTAGGTTGTCTGGTCTTGTCTTTTCGTTTCTCTTGGTTAACTAGAAGTCAGCAGCATAACACAGACAGGCTCACGCCATTGTCGCCGGACAAAAGGAAAAAGGAAAATGGGAAATGGGAAATGGGAAATGGGAAAAGGCAAAAAGGAAAAGGGAAAAGGGAAAAGGGAAAAGGGAAAAGGGAGATAGCTAATCCTGGGTATATATTATATAAACTTAATCATCAGTGCTTTTACCCACCTCGCGCGCGTGCATCGGACACACACCTCCACCTAATCTAATAAGCATAGAAGGATCAGCAGCAAGCGACAACCAAAGCAAAGCTCAGAGAAACAGTAGTTAGCCCTTCCAGCCTACACACGAGGAAGGGGCCTCCTTTCTATTCCATTCTATTCCTCACCCTTCATCCACCCCCAGCAGCAGCACCAGCAGCAGCAAGGAAAAAAAACAATGGACTCCATGCCCGATAAATATTAATAACTGACCCCGCAGTAGCCACACCCGGGGAAAGCGTCTTTTCCCACATCTTCGTTCCTCGTTCCTCACCCCACACTTTCATCCATCTTTCAGGACTTGAGTCTTTAGTAAGAGAGAGAGAGAGAGAGAGAGAGAGAAAATAAAAGACTCTATCCATCACCTCACACCAGCTAGCTAACCGGACCAACCCTCAGCCATCACCCTCCCGCCTTTCACCCTCCACCTGCATACTATTTACACGCTAGATATCTACATAGGATGTGTTAGAGGGGCATTCTTTCCGCTAACGTAGTGCCATCGTTTCCTCTCGTCTCGTCTCGTCTCGTCTCGTCTCGTATTCCGATGATGGAAGGCTGATGTATTCTGTTTGTTCTTTTTTGCTAATTCGAAATAGGTAGGGTGGATACTGTAATGTTCTTGAGCGGATTCTGCTCTCGGTGTGCTGGCATATGTATGCGCATGGGCATGTTCCGAGGCACGGGTTTCTATGATCTGTACGGGTGGTTTGGTGGGGTTGTGGCTGCGTACTGCGGAAGATGGGTTATGGGTTCATTACGGTATGTGGAGAAGGAGAAGGAGTATTGACACTTTGCGAGTGCATGAACCGCGCGAATGGACATGGTAAGAAACAACGAACCCGTCTGCATCCACAGTCGATGCTTTTTTTGCAATACAAGAACCTCGACATATCATTCGTTCCCACTCGTCCTCCCTCCTCTAGGCCAGAACGAATCTCTATTTCTCTCCTGGTCATTTATACCTCTTCACCCTAACACTCAGCACCCCGTCCAGCGCATCCTCCCAGCTCTGCCTGACCTCGCCGCAAAACTCCTCCGCCACCGTTTCCGCATCCGGCAATTTCTCTAGCTGCTTTCCGAATGAGGCGGTGACCCCCCCTCCTCCTCCTATTTTCCCCTCTTCTTGACCTTGACCATGGCTACCACCTGTGCTACCATCATTCTCCGCACTTCTGCCAAACACCACATCAACCATCCCACCCAGCACCCCCGAAGCATTCAGATTTCCCTTCATCGTCCTCGCGGAATGGTGCATGTCCTTCTCGACCTGCTCGACCAATTCCCGAATTCCCTTTGCTTGGTCAGCGGGAAGCGTGAACGGGTTCTTGACTTTCGACTTCGTCTTCGAGGCCTTGGCTTGTCCTGCTAGAAAGAGGGTTGTTGCTTGTAGGGACTCGAGGGTGGAGAAGGCCGAGTGAAGGTATTCCCACGTTGGTGCGATGGGGGATCCTACCATCGAGATCACGGTACTGTGATTGAAAGGACGCTCTTTGAGTTCTTCTGATGTAGTATTGAGCCAGTCTTGGATGGACTCAACGGCGTTGTCGAACTCGGCTTTGTGAGACTCTGGTGCGGGAGGTGGTTGTTGTTGGTGGTAGAGAAGACGAAGCGTCAATGCCCTGCCTAGGTGGTACTGATAATTGCAGTTGCTGATCTCGCTGTTGGTAAGCTGCGCAGAAAATGCTTTCAGTAGTTTGGGGATGTTGGGTATGACGGAGGCTAGTTCTTGCACATTGTCTGGTGCGATTGTCTGAGGCTCGTGATATGCCTCCTCTAAAAGATCCATGATAGCGCCGCAGATTTTCATAACGCAGAGCCATCCGTCCTGTGTTGCTGTTAGCGAAAAGTATATCTTCGAGTGCGATCTGCTACACACCTTTGGTCGTGGCCCAGTCTCCAGGTAGTGGGAGAATGGCTTGCGACTTGAATGTCCAAAAGACGGAATGAAGCTGAAATCTCGACGGTCCACGAACAGTCCTGTTGTGGCATTAGAAAACGTATCATCCTAAGCATGTTTGAGCTACGACTTTTGCCTTACCCGACAATACAGACTCTTTCTCAGAATCTAAAATGTCCCGCAGCCGTTTGGTACGGGCACTCTCTATGCAAGACATCTGTTTACTGAAACTTCTTTTCAGATCATCCCTCAACGCGATAGTCTCCATAACATTGACATAGCTCTTGTTGTTCAGTCCAACCATGATGAGCCTCCTGACGGACCTCACAGATTTGGCGTTGGCGGCCATTGCAAGATCAAGCAACTGAAGCGGATCAAAGGTCCCCTCCATATCCTTTGATCGGTGAGGATGGATGGTAGACAGTCGGGTAAGAAAGAGATGCCCGGCATTTTCCCATTGCAGGTTCTTTATGCTTAGTTTCTTGAAACAGGTAGCTGAAATGGAGATCGCTCCCAACAATGTGGACAAACGTGTGAGCACGACTAGGGTCGGATAACTATCTCTCGATCTTTTTAAACAGTAGTGTAGTAGAAAGGCGGCTTGCAAATGAGAAGCATTTTGCAGGTTGCAGTCGACTATGCCCTCTTGTACTGCTTGGCTTCCTCGAAGCAACGCCATGCTAGCAAGCATAGCCAACTGAGCACCTGGCTCGCCTGAATCTCTCTTCGTAATGCATAGGTCTCGATAGGCGCCTACGACTTTGCAACCAAAGTCACGAGCGGGCTGGGCGGTCATGTTCGGTGTTATGAGGAAGCAATACTCCAATTTCAGAACATTCAGAAGTGGGACGATAGAGGCAGCCGCCAACTCCAGATTGGTTTTCATATGATCTCCTGCATAATCGATGAGTTCTTGCTGATATCTGGCTTCGAGTACTCCCAGGGGACTTTGAAGCTCATCGAAACAGGACAGCTGCTCGCATCGCGATAGAAAATATTGCTTGCAAGCGCCCAGGAGTTCATCGGCAGTACAATGATCCTGTGCCTGTTGTAGCTGGAGCAATCGTATCATGCCATATTTGAGATCTCGAGAATCTGAATGAACATTTAGACCATCATTCAAAATCTGCCGCATTTCTGACAAAAAGCTGATCAGGTCAGCAACCTAAACACGAATCATACATTGGGGAGCTTACTTGAGATTGTCTTTCTGCTCGCCAGCATCCAAAAGGATGTCAAACATTCTGCTGGTTTGAACATTCTCGGGAGAGGGCTCTTGCACCGCCGATCGGAGCTCGGTTAGGACCGCTGGCCAGTCCTCTGATGCTCGAAGCACTTCCAGCTGTAATGATCTGTGAAGATCGTGGTCGAGCTTGAAGATGGCAGATTGTGGACCCAGAGTTTTGCTGTCCATTAACAGGTCTTTTGCTTCACGGACGTGGCCAGTATTGAGATAGACTCGGACCAGAAGTGAGAGCTCTTCGGGGCTTTTTATGGCCTTCCCAGCACTCAGCAATTCTTCCTGCTCACAAGTGTCAATGGCTGGAGTTAAATTGTCCTACCGGTCTGTTACCTTATCTTGTGCTACGGCTTCAGCAGCTTTTGCGAGCAGTCGGTAGGCCAGAGCACCGAACATATTCTTCTCCTTCTCCGAGACGGACTGATCTTGGTATAGCAAGTAGCACATGAGAATTGACCAGAACTCGTAGTTGCGTTCTTTCGGCGAACTCCTTCGAAGAGCCATGGTGGCCTGTCCAACAGCCCCTCATCAGCTCCCTCTCTTTCCAATTCGAGAGACCATTCTTGTCACACCTTTTGAGCGCTTTGCCAGTCGCATCGATTAATGGCCTCGTCGAGCCAAGTTATGGCAATATCTTTGTCCTCTGGTCTTGCAGCTGCAGCTCTTTCCCAGAGTCTTCGTCCTCCATCGTCCTCAATCCCCAAGTCGTTCAAAGCAATTTGGATCTGGTAGATGGTGTCGAGGTCTGTGATAGCAGGGCTACGATTGCAAAGTTGTACAATCTCATCTCGTCCTCGTCTCGTAGAACCTATGTCTTGTTGCTTTGCAAGCACATATGCTCGTAGTGCCTAAAAGCAGAACATGCATCAGCGAATTGTGTTGGCAGTAATAAACCTCGAAGAGGAAGCTCGAAATCACAGCACCTGGAATCTATCAGACTTCTCGCCTTTCTTATGCCACTTCTCACATAGCTGCAAGGCTTGTTTCCAATTCTGACTTTCAACCGCTTCTTGAATGGGGCGCAATCGACGCTCGGAGACATCTGCCATGGAGCGGTATTCGAAGGGTGACGATCACAAGCCGTCCTGCGCCTAGTGACTGTTGCAATCGATACGCTCCGTCCCACAATCAAGAGGAAAGAGGATAAGCTGGAGGTGCCTTACGGCCATTGGTGTGTGGTTGGAAGGAGTCTGTCGAATTTGAGATAAGCAGGGATTTGAGGGTGCGGATTTAGTGTCTAGGATCTACCTGATAAGTACGAGGCGAGCGATGGAGTCAACATGTGGCACTTCAAGATGCATGTCAAGCGACTAGATCGAGGTTATAATGCGGCCACTAGCTACACTCAAGGATGACATTAGATCTTGTTTATCGTACATTGGGCGAAGGGGTTACAGCATCCCTAGCACTAAACTTGTACACTTCCTATATGTTGGCTGGATTCTGTTGTACATGGTTGAAAGAAACCGATTTCGCTCCTCGCAACATCCTTGAAGCATCTGTGATACTTCCGTCGCTGAGCCTGGTGACAAGCATGATGTGAGGTTAAGGCGGCTAGCTGGCTGGTCTGTGATCGATCGAGTTATCAGGATCAGCCGGGATTGGGGTAGAACTTCGACGTGCTTCTACGCAGACCTTGTGTTCTTATTATCAAGCTCTGTGTAGTCTGTTGCTCGATCTCATTTCCAGATCCAAGAGCCCCCAGCTGTGTTCATAGCTTCCTTTCGCCGTAATGTCTGCGAATGGTGTAAGCTGTCATGTTCACATGAAATGTGCCTTTGAGGAGGTGATCAATAGCACATACCCATTCTTTCTTGCAGTCCCGATATGCTCTGTAGTAAGATGTCGTCAGTAAGTACTCCCGCTCGTTCTCTTTCCTCTCGCATTGAGGTCTTGCAAGATCTGGCTGTTTCTGTAGGCAGCTTTGCATTGGCGGGAAAGGACTCTGGACGTACTGGAAATAGTCGGTGCACATCTCCCTATCGCCCCCGTTCCGGTGCAGGCATCTGATACTTTTGCTGGCGAACTCTTGACACGGGTCAAAGTATTCGGAGTTGCGTTTGCTGTGAATAGGGTCAGCTTGGAGCTTTTAATTCTGGAAATCACTGACCTTGTAAATTGATTCTCAACCTTCTGCCATGCGTCCGGCCCCCTTTCTGCTGTAGTTTCCTCCTTCTTCTCCTCCGGGGTGGTAGTCGACATCTCGAGCTTCGAAACTCTTGATGAACAGCAACATGGCGATGAGGCTCCGGTGCACACGAAGCTAACTCGGTTGTGAGCTAGCACCAATCTGCAGAGATGACAAGTCTTGGCATGCAAGCACCTTCACAACTTCGACGTTATCGATAAGCACGGCAGATCCCACCTTCAATTGTTGCTGATCTCTTTTGACGAGTACGAAACGCTAAGTCCCCCACCCGGCTAATGAGACACCCCTGGTAATGAGACACCCCACTCAATCGGCATACCCACCACATTCAACGCGCATTATCTCCACCAACTGGTCAGATATGGACTCCCCATTCGAAACTCGCATTGCTGAGGCCCTAACTGAGCTATCTACTGATCCAAACGCGTCATTACGCGCAGTAGCCAAGAAATTTAGCCTATCTGCAGAAACCCTCCGCCGCCGCCAAAATGGGGGCATTGGGAAGCAAATAGCTCGCAATTCACAGCAGCTATTGAGTCCTGAACAGGAGCAAGAGTTGGTACAATGGATACTCCATTTAGAAATGGAAGGGCATGCCCCTACCCACAATACCGTACGAGCAATGGCCTCTCGTATTTCGCAAGAATCTGGCGCCTCTGGACGCATAGGGCATCATTGGCTACAGCGCTTTTTGACGCGTCAACCAGCTATTCGGTCCAAACTGGGTAGGAAGATAGAGGTCCTACGAATCGAAAACACGAAAGCAGATAGCTTAAGGACCTTTTTTGAGCTATTCCGACGCGTACGCAAAGAATACAAGGTTGCAGATGAAGATATCTGGAATATGGATGAAACTGGACTGGCCCTGGGCAGCTCTGCCCATCAACAAGTACTAGGTCGTTCTGCTACCTCTCGTACATACAAAAAGAGCCCTGAAAACCGCGAATGGGTATCTACTGTTGAGACAATATCTGCTGCAGGAAGATCAATTCCATGCCTTGTGATTTTCAAGGGCAAAAACATACAGAGTTCGTGGTTTGAGGCTTATTCTGTTCCTGATTGGCATTATACTACATCAGAAAGAGGCTGGACCTCTAATGATATAAGCAAGAGATGGTTACAACAGATTTTCATCCCTTATACGCAGCCCAAGATTACTGGCGCCAACAGAATTCTGCTAATGGATAACCAGGGTAGCTATATACCAACTGATTTCATGTGGATTTGTTTCCAAAACAACATTCGATTGCTCTATATGCCTGCGCATTCAAGCCATGTTCTACAGCCTCTTGATTTGGCTGTATTTTCGCGTCTCAAATCGTCATATAGAGCGCAGATTGAGAAGTTGGCTAAATATGAGAATGCTGCACCAATCAAGAAAATCCGCTTCGTCAAATACTACAACCAAGCAAGGCAGGATGCTCTAAAAGAGATCTATATCAGAGCAGGCTGGTGAGGAACTGGTTTGATACCTTGGAATCCACAAAAGGTACTAAAATCCAGTCAAATCTCACAGGATTCTTGTACGCCAAAGACACCCAAAAAGCGTCTACATAGCGCTATTGATGATACTCTAGAGGTACTCAAGACCCCGGAGAATCGACGCCAGCTTGTTTTAAGTCAAAATAGACTATTACAGACGCAGAAATGCTCTCAGAAAGTGCGCATTTTGTTTGAAAAAACAGCTAAGGCTTTTGATCAATTTCATGTGGCTAATGTACGCAATCTGGACCTAATAAACACACAGGCCACTAAATTAGATGAGATCAATACAAAGAAGCAAAAAGTAGCTGTTACAGATAGCAATGAGATGTTTGCCAACATTGAGAGCATTATGGCAGCGCAGGAGGAGCAGGCCAGGCGTCAGAAGCTGACAGAGGCCCGGGATTTGGCTGCAGAGGCCCGTAAAACGGCTAATAAGGTGATCAATATGACAATTGATCAGATGACCACTGTATTTAGTCAATTTGAAGCAGTAGAATAGCAAGGATAGCTATAATGTGGTGGGTATGCGAATTGAGTGGGGTGTCTCATTACCAGGGGTGTCTCATTAGCCGGGTGGGGGACTTATCGAGTAATGTGAGAATTGCTTGTCATTTTTTCTTTGTCAGGTGAGGGGGCAGAAGTGGGCCACCGAGGAAGAAAGAATCACAATGACATTGTCGATATTAGTATCCCGTAGTCCGCATTATTTCTATGATTAGCCTTGTGTCCCCTCTTTGACTGGTGGCTAACCGTTGTCCCCGCCGTTAAGCGTGAGCGAGATCCCCATCTCCCATTCCCAACCTGCTGCCAGCGCCCTAACATCTAGTCACTAGTCTTCGCTGCCCTGAACATGGATGTACGTGGGAGACATGACAAGCAAGGGTCGTGGCACATCCAGGCCTTCCGTATCCGGTCATAAGTTCCATCAAATTACGGTTGGTGGAAGCCACAATCCAGATCCCGGATAAGAATCGTAAGATGCCCGATTAGGCTTCTTGACGACGGATTGAGGATGACTTTTCAAGCCTTATGGGAGGCCATTTCATCTTGTAGCAGGATGGAAAAACTTGCACACTGCTTCTGGGAATTCAGTGAGTCCATCTCTGCTCTTAGCTATGGAGCCTATGGAAGAAATATCTTTTTGAATATTTCGTGTCTGCTGAGAGGCGTCACTGATCACCGATTCGCATGATCGTGACTTTGAGAAGCTGGTGATGTATGGTGCATTCGTCCCTTTATGCCCTAACAGTGACCAGACAACATGTGAGGCCTCCACGGCTGATTTCTCATAGTTTGACAATGATAGTATGAATGCCAAACCAAAGAAAGAAACAATTTCCTTTGAAAGGTCAGCATGCAAAGAGCGGCGTCGCATATAGCCTGAAATTATGTTGCAACAGATGAACTGTTCGTCTTCTGTTGGCTGCTTTTTGGTCGCTCCCAAAGTCTAATAGTTTAACTTATGGGTAGTCTATCAGAAGCATGATACACGATAAGATAACAGGCCTGACGATTCTTCCACGTCTCTCTCCATCACCGTGCCCCTCCACACTCCTTGCCTGTCGGCAGTGCTGGTAGAGATCAAGTTGGTTCGACTTCTGCAAGGTGTGAAGCACTATCGTGTGATACTGAATCTGAATTGGTTCAAGTGAGTAGAAGTCGACGAGGCAACCTGCTAGTGGTTCTCTGCTTTCTTCGTCAATGCTCAAATTCGTAATGGGATGAACGGCCATACCCTGCCCATCCGGGGGCTCTAGAGGAGGTGGTGGGTATATAAGATACCATCCACCTTGGAATTCCTTGTGGAGACACAAGATATCTTGTCACCAGAACAATTTCCACACCTTAACCAGGTCCACGTGCTTCCAATTAAACTGTGCTTAGCATCAACCTTCCCTTCAGTCGTGTTCGCTAGCGGTTCTGGGAAGTTGAAGAAGTATATCAAGCTGGCAACATGGCCTCCGCTGACATTCTTACCATTTCACCTTCCATCACTGATACTCTCCACCTTGACAACCCTTCTCCTACTATCCCTGAGTCGTCCACATCTTCAAAAAGAAAATATTCTTCAGACAGTCCACTCATTGATATGTCAAACATGGCGCCGCCAGTGAAGGTTGCTTTCAATCCTGCTGATCACCTCAGCTTCAAACCACCCTCCAAGGTATTCACTATGAAAGACTTGGGTCTACCGGACGATACAGGTGTCTCTGCCGTAGCTGTGTCGGAGCCCTTTCAACTTTTCACTCCAGAAGCCATCCAGCGAATGAGAGCCGAAGTCCTCAGCACACGGGTCTGGGAGAATTGCCAGTACTCAAGCAACCTATCTCAGTGTCAGCTTCGAGGCTTTGCACCAGAGTAAGCACTGCAGCTTTGCATGATAGAAAGGTATATACTGACTGTAATAGTTACGCACCATTTGTGTACGACGCATGGAAGAGCCCAGAGACCCTTGCCATCATCTCTGAAGTCGCAGGTGTCGATCTCGTTCCTCAGATGGACTTTGAGATTGGTCACATCAACATCTCCATGCAGAGCGAGGAGCAGAAGCACGAAAGCATTGCTGCCTTTGCTGAAAAGAAGTCTCGGGAAGCAGACGAAGGTGTCGCAGGTTGTCCATGGGAGGATGACAATCCAATCGTTGACTGGCATACCGACAGCTATCCGTTCGTTTGTGTCCTCATGCTGAGCGAGTGCACTAACATGATCGGTGGCGAGACGGCTCTCAGAACTGGTACTGGAGAGATCATGAAGGTCCGAGGTCCACAAATGGTAAATCACCCAGTCTCACAACTGAATGGCAGATTTGCTGATTCCTGACAGGGATGTGCTGTTGTTCTGCAAGGCCGATACATTGAGCATCAAGCTCTCCGCGCATTCGGTACTACTGAACGCATCACAATGGTTACCTCTTTCCGCCCAAAATCTGCCGCTATCAAAGACGACACTGTTCTCACGACCGTTCGCGGTGTATCGAACCTCCCTGAGCTGTACTTCCAATACAGTGAATACCGCCTGGAAATGCTTGAGGAACGAATCCGAAAAAAGCTAAAGGAAATGCAGGAACAAAAGCGTACCCACCGTGGTTTTGATATATGTGCCATGAAGAAGTTCGTCAAGGAGCAGGAAGAGTTCTTGGCAAAGATGGATCAACAAATGCTCGAAGAAAGCAAGGTCACCAAAGGTTTCTGCGATGACAGTCATCTCTTATCTTCTGACCTGAAGGAAAAATCTCGCAAGAAGGCTCGTACTGCGGTTGCAAGTGAAACTGTGTGAGTTGTGAGGTGTGGAAACAAGGTGACATGACAAGATGATGGAATCTTTCTTTGCTTAACCAGCGTGTTGCTGACAGCATTCCTATGGCACTGTGAGAAGCGGATGATAAGATGCGCTGTTGCTCAGAAATTTGCATTGATGCTTGTGCTTTTGTGGATGCTTACGGGTTTGCTGAATGTGCTTTGCTGAATTCATTTCAAGCAATATTCTTTGCCTACTACTTAGTAGTAGTAGACGGGTCCCGAGCTTTGAAGTGCCCTAATCTCCCAAAAGCACCTTACCAAAGTTTTCTGATGCCGTCGTACACATAACAAACCGTTCTGATATTCAGTGCATTCTGGAGTCGTCGACAGCTTACCTAACGTTCTCTGTGAGCAAAGAGGCACTTTGTCGTCCCTGTCATCACTTGAAATCACTTCCAAAGTCTGAAAAGGATGAGAGGCGAGGTCTTGGCAAGTATTGGCATTAAGCTAACGCGAATGGGTTGGTATGCATTATGATGGCAGACCCGATTTTAGTGGGGGCGCGTGTTGGTTGCAGGAGTAATGTATCTAGTAAATTAGAGCATCTCTGAATTCAAAAACAAGAGAGCCTTATCCCCAGTTCTAACCAGGGCAAAGAGTGTGAGCAAGCTTCTAAGCTCTTCTCCGAGAGAGAGGCTGATCAGGGCCCATTCCTCTGCTCTGGGGATCCAGACTTCCGTGGGCTCAGCAGTGCAGCTCCACCCCCAGCCTTACGGGCCAGGACTTCCCTACTAACTTACGCCCAACTTCAAAACTCGACCAGCACCCTTCCAAAATCTTGCCATATCTACAGAACGACCCCTCGAGACTGGTCATATGTCTTAGTTTAATCCCCCAGCAGTACGGCAGTTTAGGTGGTGCCTGTCAAGAGCGCTGAAATAAGCAAACTACAGAATCTGTCATCTCCGCCCGCAATGGGTGCCATTACCTCAACCAGCGCAATGCGTTCACTACCAGGTCCCGTAGCAGGTACAGCGTCGGTATGTCTGAATCACATCCAATCAAGATCTACTCTATACCTAGCTCTAGCGGTCAAAGACTCAGGCTGATGCTTTCCTAGCTCCTTCAAACGTTTCAAGCCCATGTCGAAGATATGAGGAATCTGGTCCTCTGCAAAATCTGCATCAAGCCTCTCTACGAACCCTACACTCTAGGATGTGGTCATACATACTGCTACTCGGTGAGTACCTCCGATACAAGTGCAGCTCAGCACACAATTAATTCTGCTATTAGTGCCTGACAAGCTGGTTCGGTGGAGCTCCGAACAGAAGGAAACGGAAGAATTGTCCGGATTGTCGTGCAGCCGTCGCCATTCAACCTTCGCCGAATTATCTGGTAATCTCCTCTCCGAGAGCTCAGATAAACATATGTTTATTGCTGACGTTTCATAGTTACGTGATCTTGTCCACATGTTCATCAGCCGCGTCGAACTCCTCCCAGAGGATGAGACAACAGCCGAACACGACGAGGCAAAACGCATCGAAGCGCAGCTCATCGAGACAGATCGGACAACGAGGACAGACGGCGAACCTGGCTTGTTCAAGGGTGCTTTCAGCAAAGCTCGAGTACAACTCTATGGACCCATCCACGACGAGGAAGATGGTGTCCTGCGATGCCCAAGGTGCGCATGGGAGATGGAAGACGGAGAATGTGGGCAATGCGGCTATGCAGACACAGGATTTTCAGATGGTGAAGACTACGATACTATGGGCACTCCAAGTGTTGTGAGCATCGAGAGCTCGACGACGGACCCCGATATCGACGGTTCATACTACTACAATCACATTCTGGATGGGCAGCCTACTCAGGTGCGAGACGACTTTAGCGACTGGGTGAGAAGAGATCAAGCGGCACGCCGTGCTCGACGAGCAGCACGAGAGAATAGATTGGGTCGACAAGACAGAGCTACAACGGTAGATACGGAAACCGTCGAGGCTGAGTTGAGGCATCGCTATCAAGATCATCCGGGGTGGCATCTTGATCATGAAGATGACGCAGAGATGGCAGCATTTGTAGAAAGGCACCCATACGATGAGCAGCGGTGGAATACGGACACCGCGGAGACAGTGGACGAGGATGAGGAAATGTCATCCGCCGTCGAAGACGAAGATGACGAGAGCACGACTAGTTTTCACAGAGCAGCAATCTTAGCGCGAGATCAAGGCATGTATCCACCGTTTGAGTCAGACCTCTCAACCAATGGTGAAATGGAGACCGTTACAAACGGCAGCAACAGTTCAGATGAATCTACTGAGTCAGATGATGGTAGCGACACAACGGAGCCAACGCCTGTGGTGCAACGCCTCGCCAACCGACCTGCACGGGTCGTGATTGATTCAGATGATGAGAGCAGCAGCGATAGTAGCAGCGAGGAGGAAGAAGATGATGAGGAGGAGGAGGAAGAAACTAGCGGCGCGAGCAACGAAGAGGAAGAAGAAGAAACCGAGGAATCAAGCGACGATGATTCTACCCCATCACCACCAAGGCCGGCAGCTGTCAGACGTGCAAGGGTGGAGATGCATAGGGGTCGTCGTGGGATTAGAGGTGGGGGTAGGGGTGGCAGCAGGGGCAGGCCTAGAGCGGGGAATTGAGCGGAATTACATTGCAAGGAAAGGCGCTGTTGACAATTCTGGTCAGAAGTTAAGTTCTGTACCTTGATCTGTTTAGGAGGGAACACGAGTGGTTCTGATTAGCAGAGTACGATATGTGTGGATTGGCGGCATACATTTCCGTAACGAAGTCGCTGTGTCCATTATCAGACAGATAGAGGAAGAAGGTCCAGACTATGCCATTTCACCCTACTAAACATATGCTTCTCATTGTCATGGCACACCATAAACACGAGGAGCCATCATGCTGTTCACCCCTTAATGTTGGCGACTTCCAGCCCATCGTCTTCGTCATACTAAATCTATCAATTTGCGATCGCTCCCTTGGTCTATGCTGTTTGGAATAGCAGCACCGGGCCACGTTTCAGCGGTTACCTACAGTACTTATTGTGCCCGAGTCCGGGATAGTCTCCGCTCCACTCCGGTCAGAGCTACACGCCTTCATTGTTTCTGTCCGATCTAAGGGTTTAGTATTATTATTGTAGACTAAGCTGCTCCTCCAGGTTTAGTCCGGCCTAACCAGGCAACGCATCTTCGAGTTTGCTGCTCCCTCATCCCTTACGTCTTCCTTTCTTTCCGTCTGTTATTCCTCTTCTCTCTTTCGCCTCTCTCTCAGACAACCTCCTGTGTTGATTTGCTGCGCCGCCGTCTCTGGCCTTCACAGCATTGGGCATCTTCTCAGGCGTCCGAAAATTCTTTCCACCATGGAAACCAGTCATAGTCCTTGAGTCATGAATTTATGTCACGTGCGTGCTTCGCTTGGCAAGTTGTTAGGTTAACTTCCGTTGCGTCTACACAACCCTCATCCTAAAACTGAATCCAATCAGTCAATTTTACCACAGCCAAGTTAATTTATTTTTCTAACCATGGTCACGGTCTAGGCATATACCGCCGGGTAGATCTATCCAAGCGAGAAGGGCACATTCGTAATTTCAGGCAGGCACACTTGCGGTGCAACATTTTTGCCGCCATGATGGAGATATGTCCACTGCTTTCAAGATCATTTTCTGCTTGAAGATGGACATTTATCCTCATTTATTCTGTTAACTCATCAAGACCAACCTATTCCTTCTCACTCATACTCCACCGTATGGTGCGCCTGTCCTTTTCGTTCGTCTCGCCAATAAATAACCCAGTCCAGTCCTTCAGCTGTTACAGTCATATTGAGAGTGTAAATTAGTTCTTGGAAGGTGCGAACTCAATTAGAGTGGCCGTAACTTTTGGAGGCCCGTTTTTCGTACCAAGGAGATTTTTGTGGTCTTGGCACTTGCCATTGCACATTCAAGTTCTACTTCTCTTTTGTCGTCTTTACATCTTTATCAGTATTTAATCTGAACCTGGGACAATATCACCACAAGCACGATCTTCAGCGGGCCCTGTGATCGTTTCTGGCAGGGCACTTGCAGATGGCTGTTTCCATCATCCCATATATTCTCGATTACTTCTGCTTTGAATCCCAGCTACTGATACCTAGGCTTATATAATATCTTCTCCATATTCACATACCAATCAACGACACTGATGCACAACCCCTCTTCAGCGCCGCCTCCCTAGGTACTAGTCCCAGTGCTCGAGTATGTCTTTTGTCCATAGTGTATGAGGATGATCCCTACCCAGAAAAGACTCCTGTCCTCGCAGCGCCTTCTCTTGCATAGCTCGTGCTTCTTCGCGAAATTCTGGACCCTTCGCGTCAAGCGCGATCCCGAGATTGTTCATCGTCCAGCAGGTATCCGCATGGTCTGTGCCAAGCACCTTGTTTCGTCCCGTCAGCGCCTGGCGATGAAATTCGATCGCCGGATCGAGCTGCCCGCTCTCGTAGTGACACTGACCAATGTCGCCTAAAATCCATAGACAATGAGGATGGTTTCCCCCTAGACACTCGGTTCGGATGTGGTAAGCTTTGGTCAGCTCCGTTATAGCGTGATTGAATCGGCCTTGTTTGCGATGAACGCGACCGAGTGTGCTGAGAGTCCATGCAATTTCGAGATCTCGATCTGGGTCTGCTGATGCCGATGTGAGGATGTTCAGTACGTTAAGATGCATGCGTTCCGCCTCTTCATAACGACCTTGATGCCGGTAAACACGTCCTAATTCGTTTTTGGTCCAAATGGTTTCAACATGGTCGGGGCCCAGTGCTACAATCTCAAGGGAAAGCGCTAATTCCTGGTATTGTGCCGAAAGCTCAATGAGTCCCTGTTGATCGTAAAGGATGCCTAGCGTATTCAAAACCCAGAGCATCTCATGTTCCAGCTCATCTCTGGCCTTCTTGTGCTCAGCAAGAACACTCTCGAAGAAATCGATGGCTCTTTCTAATTTGCCTGTCTGGGTGAATTGCCTGGATAGGTCACGCACGACCATCAGTCGTTCGAAATTGCTTACACCAAATTTTGGTTTTGGAATGCTGGTCTGACCTATGCCAGTCTCTAGTTGTTGTGATCTCTCTTCAACACCACTAAGAAGGATTTCCGGGACGTCAAAAGCCCAGTCTAAGTAATCTGGTATTCCGGATTGTGTATTGTGAGGCATCCATTCGAGGATGCGCTTCTGCATAAGGAAGAGGTTTTGCAGTATAAAGGCGTCTGCTTGGCAGAATAGTGAATTTGTGATCCACCGCCTCCGATACTTGGACGACAAAAACATGATTAACCGGTCCATGACTTCAGCATCGCATGGTGAGGAGAGAAGGTGGTCAGGCCAATTTAGACAGGCGTACTCGACCAGCGGCGACAGAGGACTCTCGCCGCCAGCGTCCTCCGAGCTCCAGGCGATCGAAAGCGTCGTCAAGCACTCAAGTGCAATCTGTCGGTGACTCGCTGGTTTGCTGATGGAGAAATCTGGTGCGTCCAGGGTTCCACAGGATCGCGGATTGGTGAAATAGTCGTATACCGATGCATGGACAGGTCTTAGGGAGCTCGTCTTCCCTTGATATTGCAATATCGGCGAACAAAGCTCCACGATTGCTGAGAGGAAGGGTTTCTTTGACGCCTCAAATGTTTCCGTATGAGAATCAACCGCAAGAGCGCATTGCAGTTCTGCCCATGTCAAGGGGCGGTAGGAACATAATGCCCATAAAAAAGTCTTCCTCGCTAAGCTCTGGCGACTGAGCGACTGCTTATGCAATCTTTGTAGGGTCTCTTGAAACACTGCTTCCAGACCTATTGGAGGACTTTGCAGGATACTGGATATTTCGCTGGGTGTAATGGCTTCTTGAAGCTTCGATATCATCAAGTGAGCCCAGAGAAACACCCCGTGAGCATTGGCACGCAAGCAAGTGCTTATGTTGGCCGCAGTTTTTGAAACAAGACTTCCTTGGTGGAGTTCCGCTGTTGCTGCTAGGATATATTCATCCAGGTCGGCCTTGGTGCTAGCAGCATTGAGCTCCACTGAAGGAAAGCACGACATCCTTGAGCGTATACATGGCATGTCTCGACTGAGGATTAGGACAGAACTGCGGTTGCCTCCGGTAACAAGATTGCAAGTCTGGTCAAGGATGTTGTTCGTTTCTTTGCTTTCATCAATGCCGTCGATGACAATGTAGACATGGTCAAAATGCGCAATGGTTCTTTGTAGCAGCTCCAATGGCGCGTCTGCAGGTGATATGCGACACCTTCCAAAACGTTTCGCTGCGTTGAAGGCGCGCAGAATGGACGGTGGAATCTCGTCTTGTTGACTGCAAAGTTGAGCTAACAAGCTTGAAAGGACTGCCAGGCAAGAGGATTTTTTGTCGTTGCCACGATCGCAATGAAAGAAAGCCAGACCGTCGTTGCTGCCGAGAGAGAACTGGACATGCTTGATAATATTCGTGCTCAGTCCCGTCTTTCCAGATCCTGCGGCTCCGTATACCCACAAACGGCTTGCTTGCGGACGAGCCCATGCTTGATACTCCTGGCCGGATAGAAACCAATGTCCGCTAGGTTTCAGTTGCTTTGAAGCTTCTCTATCCAGGTCTTGCCAAACGTCTATAGTCGAAAGCCACTCCAAGACCCCTGATCTCTTCAACAAATGCGTCAGATTATTAAATTTCGCGCTTTGGTCGCGAACATACCACTTGTCTGTTGTCAGTCTGACTGACACTAGATGAAATGATCAAGGTTTCATTCTTCTGCTCCTGCCCTATCCGATCTAACCTAATTCGATAAGCTAAAGTAGTTTCGTCCATCAAAGTTTTGGTATGTCGACTGATATTGTTGAGTGTACATTGGAATTGGGAGTCGAAGTCCTGCCATAAACTGTTGAATAAAACAGTAAAACCTGTCCCACCGTAAGACTGGTAATATGGGGCGTCTTTTGGAGCTTACCTGATCTTGTAAATATTTGTCGCGATTTTTCCAGGAAGGAGATTGTGTCGGTATACACTATTGAAAGTGCTGATCGAAAGTTCGGCTCACCACCGAGCAATGGTTCGTAGCGTTGAAAGATAGAGACTGTACGGCCTAGGTTCTCTAGGGCGTCGAGAAGTCTGTCGAAATACCGTGCGAACGCTCCACAGACCTAAAAATGAAGTATTGGTACGACTCTATGGTGGATTGATGGTCCTCAGGGCTCACTATAAGAAGCGCGCGCATAGCACCCCATGCAAGCGCTGCTGGATTGATCGTGCCTTGTACCGCTACATCAATCGCAGGAGTGAAACGCTCGACAAACAAGATCAATGGTTGCAAACTCTTGCCAACTCTGCGGGTCATGCTGCGGGTACTGTGTTGTTCTTCTAGGATGAGGATTTGCTGCCACAGCTCGTCCAACGTTGCTCTCTTACTACCTTTGACAGGCACAACATAATCGGGCATATTAGATCTCTATGGTAGTAATTTGGAGCTTGTCTTGGTATGGATAGTGCTCGGAGTAAAATAGCGCTTCACAATTTATTTCGCCAAAAGGTTGGAGCCTTTGTGGAAAGTCATTGATACTGCTGGAAGAGCAGTGTTTTGAAGAAATGCCCCGTACGACAGATGCATAAAGGCATGGAGAAGGAAGATTGCTAGACGGCGATATGCAGATCCTGGTGCCAATGAAGGGATCTCCATCTTGACTGATCACGCCCATTCGCTAGCTAGCGACACAACATGACTTAACGTCGAGAGTTCCAGGCGGACAAGGCGGGAGATCCTCTCGCCCCAATTTCGCTCAGCCATATGTGGGAATCACCGCTCTGTTCAGGTTCGTTGGGCGAGGCGCAGCCTGAGGCTGAGTCCGCCTCGGAGCGACAGACCGGGAGCGCACATAAAATATATTTGAAGGCAACAGTGGCTCCACTCAATTAAAAATGCCTGTGATCATGTGGCGATCAGATTGCCTGGCTTGCCAGGTAAGTACAACAGTTGCACCAAGTTCTTGAGTGTCGAGGCCCTGTCGAGTTTGGTGTCCCCTGTTCCAATGAGCAAAACTCCAGGCAACAGCCACTTAAAAGACTGCATTATTGCCACTGCCCGTGTCAGACGGTCGCAGCCTGACGCAAAAGAGACGCGCAAAAGACGAACAAAAGACGAGTTCAAAGTAGTGAGTGAAGTTGTTTTCTTCTAACATGCCCTGAGGGCGCCCGATGGGCATCTACTCTAACTAGCTGACTATTCACGTGGCAGGCCATGCCGCATCGCCATACAGGCGCATGTGCATGACAGCCCGAGCGCTTCACTAACGTAGGGTCGCATAAAAATGTACCAAGCTTCCAACCAACAGGAATGCTTAGATGTTCCATATCCTGCATTGAAAATAAGGCTGAAAAGTGTAGTAAGAGCTTGGCGCTCAGAAGTACTAACTTACGTAAAATTACCTGCTGCTTTGACCACCTCATATCCCTAGGTCAAGCCAACTGTCATGAAATCTGTAGCAGATGATAGCTCTGAATCAAGCAGCAGCGTTTCACGTTCCAGAGCAGGCTTTGCAACACTCCTGAAGCTGACACCGGCTGGTCACCAACCAACACCACGATACACTTTGCATACTTTCTCCATATTGAGCTTCTAGTCAGCCGAGTGGCAGTCCTTCGACTGTGACACCAACCTAGCCTGGTGAACACGAATAGTGAGTGATGTGGATAACGCAAAATGCTTCAAACTCATTTCCCTGTTGACTACTTCTTTGCTGAATTAATTTTGTGTTCCTGACTTCTTTCGTTCTTCCGCAGCCTCGGGTGGATCTTCTCTCCGGCCGCCTAGCGGTTTTCATTCCTCTTTGAGCACGCTCATTCATTTTCCACTCGATTCTGATCTTGAACGGGACAAGATGTCGTCGTCCCGAGAAAACCTGGACTGGGTCAGAGCTCTTGAATGTTTTTCTGATGCTCAATTCAAACTGATTTGGCTATGTGATCTCAAAGTCAGATATCAGTCCGTCGTTTTGCAATCCATCTGAACTTCTCGATTCCTCCATACTCGCTATAAGGAACGGCCAAAAGTTTTTGACAAGTCTAGCAGATTTCATCTCTGTGCTGGCTAGACTTGGTGTTGATGGTCGATACCATTTCAGATCTCCAAATCTTGATGCTCGAGTGGACAAAATCGGACGTGGCGCACAGTTTGATGTCTTCACCGACCGACACAACATCCAAAAAAATGTGGTCTTCAAGCGAGTTCGCCGTGACTTGGTTAACATTGATGCTGCCGCCGCGTCAATTGATGAGGCACGTCGCTCACGTCTACGAACAATACAGCTTGAAATCAGTTCACTTTGTGATCCAAGAAGACGGAACAGCTGCAACATAGTCGACCTCGTTGGGTGGGGATATGATTATCCGTCCTCGGTGTTAGATGATCGCATTCCTGTACTAATCATGGAAAGGGCAACTTGTTCACTATTGCAACTTTTAAAACAGGGCAATGGCCATTATCAGAGCCCCATATCAATCGCCATCAGACATCACATTTGTCTAGATATTGCCGAGGGCATTAGTTGCATCCACAGCACAGGGCTAGTTCATGGGGATATCAAGCCTGGAAACGTCCTAGTCTTTGAAACAGACGATCCGAGAGTGCCGTTTCTGGCCAAGTTAAGTGATTTCGGACAGTGTCTTGACCTTCAAGATCCGATGACAGGCTTATTCGCATACCAAGGGACAGATGGATGGCAGCCTCCAGAGGTGGCAATTGAGGATGCTATCCAGAAAGATGCATTTGCTCCTCATCTTCTGCCAAAAAGTGACAGCTTCGTTTTTGGTCTGCTAGCACTTTCCATATTCTTGAAAGATGGAGACTGCCTGTTCGCGTTGCCACCACAAAACTTCCCCCTGGAAGCTTCCAGGCTCATCGACAGCAATACAGATGCGTCTCTGGACCGTACTATGAAGCAGATGCTCAAAAAACTGTGTTATACATTGCTTGCTCACTCGCCACAGGGTCGTGCAAACGTCAATTTTCAGTTGCTTCAGTGCGAGAGCGTTAGCTTTGCCGACTGGTAAGCTCGTCCCTCTACCAAAGGTTTGACCGATTGCTGAACTGAGATCACCAATAAAGGTTTTGCGTCAAAAGTTCTAGAGTCAAACGCACAAACCCTGGGAAGAAAGTGATAGATGGCTTCTATAACTACTGGTCCAAACTAGAACTTGCTATCCTTAGTCAACTCGAAAGGCAATATGACGAGCTCCTCGCCAATGCTAACAATCCGATGTATAGTGGGGAGACTTTGCTCGGTATGGCAATCGCTCATTCACATAAGCCAGGTCCAGGCTATGGTGACAAGGTCGTGAAATTTGTAAGGGCGGCAGCAGAGCTTGGCCATGTACCTGCTCAAGGTATAATCAAAAGACTCCAAGATGCTCACGGCCAAGTCAGTAGTAAACATGAAAATCGAGATGAGCTGAGAAACTGGCTTTTCAATGCAGCTTCCACGGGCTCTTACATCGCGTTGCAAGATTTGCGTGCCGAAGATAAAGGGTTGTTCGAAGCAGCGAAAAATTCATTTCGCAAGAATGGCGGTTATAACCGGGAGATGGCAGAGACAGCAAGGACAAAACTCATGTTGTTACGCGAGAACTTCCAGAAGTACTGCGACTCTCATGACATACGACTAGCGGTTGACCTTCAAGGCAACACAATCCTTCATACCGTTGCCGTGTATGGCCAAGTCGAACTGATCAGATTACTCGTTGCGAAAGGTGCTGCAGTTGATGCACGCAATGAAAATGGCGAAACCCCTCTATATCAAGCTTGTTTGGCAGGAAACTCTGCTTCAGCTGAAGCATTGGTAAGTCTTTCAGCAGACGCTGCCATTACTTCACACCCACATAATATCTCCTGCATGCACTGGCTCTTCCATTTCAACACAAGTGTCATGGACAGAATGTTAGAGCTCCTGAAATCTAATGGCGCAAACGTGCGAGCTTTAACGTCCCCGATACTTGAGGGAAATCGTCAGTGGAAATCCTGGGCACATTTCCCTTTCCATTGGCCACAAGGATCCCCTTTGCACTGGGCGAGTTTTACAGGCTCATTTGAAGCCATCAAAGCCCTTCTTAAAGCTGGTGCTCATATTGATGATCTCAACGCTGAGGATGTGACTAATGCGCAGACCGCTCTCTCAATGGCAATGCATCGTGCGGACCCAACCATGGTCAGATTTCTCTTGTCAAAGGGGGCTGATGCCACGTTTCTTGACAGGAGAGGTTGCAGTCCTGCTCACATGCTATCACTTAACGTCTCTGTAACGCAGCATATGTTTCACATGTCGAAAGCATTGCACTGGTGGGTCTATCATGGAACGTTGGAAAATCATCTTGCCCAAGTCAAAGAATCAGCAAATGCACTCAAGTCTGCTGGCAATGATTTGCAAAGCGAAACGCATCGGCTCGCGGTGAGGTCTCGTGTCTCGCCTCTGATTGATGCAGTGAGATCTGGAGATGGTGGTGTTGTGCTTGGCCTGCTTGCTGCAGGTGTCTCTCCTAGTTGTGTTGATGAGGTTGGGAGAAACCCCTTACATAGCTGGATAACATCCTGCGAGAAAACACGATTGGCGTATCACACGACATATGAAAGGGTATGCGAAAACCTCCTGGGAGGCATTGCAGATGTCAACGCTCGGGACGACTTTGGTCAAGCCATTGTTCATAGCGCCATACTTTCCTCGGACTTTCCATATCTCATGGAGCTTTTCAAGTCGTCCAAAAGGCCAGTGGATATTAATGCTGCTGATGACACTGGTGAGACCGCTTTGCTTGGATCTCTTAGACTCATGTGGGTGGATGTGGATGGCAAGTCACTAGCTGGACGGTATTCGATTTTGCTCCAGCAACACGGGGCTAACTTGGATGCTCGAGATCACAATGGATGCGACTTCATATGGAACGTCTGTAACAACAATGCACTTTTCGACGACGAATGCCTGAGTCTAATCAAAAGACGCCTCCATGGCCTTAGCCATCAGGAGCAGCGTCTATTGGTCTTAAAATCAGTCAACAAGAGGAGAGGTATAACGGCCGTACATGCGGCTATACTGAACCAGTACATATCTGCCGTCAAGTTTTTCATCGATCTGGGTCTTGATATCAATCAGACGTGCAATGGTTGGAAGGCCTTAGACCGGGCATTGGTGGCCGGACAAACGATGCGCTTCGCGCACCTCAAAGGATGGCTGATACATGAAAAGCTTGTGCTCAGAGACAGACTTGAGCCTCGAAGAACGGTGGACTCCCTCTTTGAGGAGACTCACTCTGAGTCAGACATGGGTGAGTTTGCGTTGCATCCTTCCCTTACTTCACTCATCAAGAGAAGGACCCGACTGAATTCTTCTCAGGCACGTACGTAATCAACGGGATCAACTTTAATGCTCGTAAGCTATGTCCTCGAAGGATTCCACCACAGCGTATTCTGACAAGGTATAGGAGAAAAATATTTCGCTGCGTCAGATCTCATCAAGATGTTAATAGCCGCCGGAGGAAAATCGGATAGACACTTCATCGCGACTGTGGGGCATCAATGTGGCCCAAGAGAATATGATGCAGATTTATTAGAATCAATCGAAGCATCAGCGTTGCAAGGCATCACTGCCGACAAGCAACCTTTCTACGATCGCTGGGCAATACTTTACGAGCTCATGGACTACTAGAAGCATATAAAGAGCGTGCTTTCGATTCGTTGGCGAAGTGTATCATCGCAGCTCGAGTCAGATTGACAACGTGTTGTGACGCCCGGGCTTACTACGTATAGTAGGGGATGAGACAACTTGTACGATCTGCTTCGACCTATGTCGTTTCTTTCTGGCGATATGATTGTTGAGTGAGCTTTTCTACATGCACAATTCAGTCTTTTGGAAGATGTTGTTCCAACCAATGTCCTTCCCGACTTCCCGAGCTGATGGGCCAGAAGGATGACAATCAGGTTGCTTCTTCCGCGATTTGGTATGGTATTGCGAAATACTATCCAAGCCACACTGAACACTGTATGTTACGTACACTCAGGAACTTGTTCTAAAGCTGCAAGATTGGGCCAGTTTCTGCTCCATTCACGGCACGCGACCGTATCAAGCAGGCCGCACGCCATCTTCGATGACGGCGAGCACCTGCTCCTGAAACGCCAATCCAAGCCTCGTCTGGTTTTTATCGTCCAACGTGACACCGAAATCGCCCGTCAAGCATTTCAGCACCGCCTTCATATATGGCGTCCCCACCGCCTTTGGCAAATCGCGTCTCGCCATCTCGACCAGCATACTCTTTACCTGTTGGCGATCTGGGAAGACGCCCTCTACTCTGTATTTGTCGAGTTGTTTTCTGAATCTGAAGGTCACAGTCCTGAACACGCCGATCTCGTACAGCACGAGGCCGAGGGCGTAGAGATCGTGTTCCTTCGTGAAGGTCTTTGTTGGAAAGCCTTGACGGTCAGGATGGCGGTAGATGTCTTTTCTCACGCTTCTCGTGCTGCTATTGAGGGAGACGTCATCCATGCTACGGCTGTATTCGAAGCCCATGACATAAGGGATCATGGTCCCAGTCGAGCTGGGCATCAGAGCAATGTTTTGGGATGAAAAGTTCTTGTGGACCCAGCCCCAGCTGTGGAGTTTCAGCAGGGCTAAGCAGACTTTTTGGGCAAGAGACAGTCTTTGCTCCAGGGGAAGGTTAACTGGCGGATTGGATGAGGTGGCAGATTCGATGAAACTATGCAGCGTTTGAACATCGCTCGCTTTCCGTCCCGTGGGTATTCGGAAAAGAAATGCCGTTCGGCGATTGGCCGGCTCTTCAAGATACCCTATACACTGGAATGTGGTGGGACCGGATCGAAAGCTGTCTTGGGTTTCTGCAGGGTCATCCTCTGAAAAGCAGCGCTGTTGAAGCAGAGTGGCGAGCTCATTGATTTGACGTCTGGCTATCAACTCTGATTTTGTGGCTTTTCCTTGGGACACTCCAGAAATTTGTGCTTCATCAGCTGTTGCATACGTTCGGTACTCAACAATGACCGTCTCGCTCAGAGAAGTGTTTTCGTCTTGAAATAACATTAAACGTAGATCCAATCTATTGGTCTCCTCGGTCAAGCAGCCCTGCAATGCAGGCCGTAATTCCATGGCGTGGTCGATGGATTGTACTATACATGCTTGCCGCTCGGCAAGGCCCGCAATACCAGTACGCCTGGCCATTGTGTTCTCTTTGAACTCCTTCATCGTCGAGAGACTATCTGTTCCTAAAAGGGCAAATGATAGTACTATTTGTATTTTTCCGATACAGGCCGTCGAGGATTGTATCAAGTTCTTGATACCGTCCTTGCTCAATGTAGAATAGGTCGATGAACTATTTGGATCTAAAATCCTGCCTTGGATCTCATCCTCCAAAAGGCTTTCTGGCGACATCTCAGAATAGGAGTGATATATAGAGAACAGCTGCTGCAACTTTTGGACCTGTAGGAACACCCGCCTGGAAAGATTCGAGGAACTTCCGGTGCTGTCAAGGATTTGGGAGAGTCTCTCGTCCTTCATGAAGCTCTGAAAAGCTGTGTAGAAGCTGGTTTGCGAGGCGAGCAATCTGACGACATTGTTGACCGAAATCTCGTGTTCTGGTTCGACGATCTCATCGTCCCAATTTAGGGAAGAGAGTTTCTCGAGAACATGCATTGCAGCTTTTGCTATTGTTTTGAGCATTTCAATACAGTCAAGCTGGAAGAACCGAGACATCACCACGTTAGGTGCCCTTGTCACGTGGTCTTTGAGTTTGTTTCGCAGCACATGGTAAGCGCTACTGGGCTGGTCGGACAGCTTCGCAATCATCGAATGGTTTTCATTGATCTCGATTCGCTCTTCTTGATCCACATAAAGACAAGCCGAAACCCTGTCCACCATCATTACCTCCGGACCATCGCGCTTCCATCTCCCTTCTGGGTCTTTTCTGGCGGTTGGTGTAGTCCTAAGCTCAGAGCAAGTGATAATTCTGACTTTCTTGGAGGCAGAGGCAAATTCTGCATTCAGATTAGCAAGAACGACTGAATCGCTTTTCAAGTCACGAATAAGTCGTTCGCTGACGCTTCCTGTAACGAGCGTCTCCAATGCGGTTGTATTCAAGCCTCTATGCGGTGCGCCAAAAAGTACGATAGAGTAAATACAAGGGCGAAGTTCCTTGCATTCTTCGAATGTGGCAATCCACACCAAAGCCTTCATTGAGCGCAGTAAGCAGTCGACTCCCTCAGTTGGGTCAAGTCTTCCCAGTACATACCTGCTTGATGATAAGACAACCTAAGCTATGACCGATGAGGATAAGAGGGCGTCTCTGACCCAGATCAGACACTGGCGTAACAGGACGGGCTCGAGGGCTTACCTTGGCCTCGCTGTGTCGACGAGATTCCTGAAGAGCCTGGAGGAACAGCTTCGCGTAGTCCAACAGACCTGCTGTCGAGTTGCTGTTTGCCAAGGCGGAAGAATAGCCGTATGTCTGGACTCGAACATTCGGAATATCCCTGGGAAGAAAGTCTCGAAGCCACATAGATCCTTGCACACCCTGCCAAGATACGAAGGCATTTCCTCCAAGGCCAGTGATAGCAATTACGCTGCAGGCACAACAGGTCAGTATAAGGGCGGACTGATGGAGATCTCTGGGTTATGGCAACTCAACTCGACTGTCCGAGGTGATAGTGATGCATGATTGAGCGGCGTTAGGCCGTCAAATTGGGTATCCAGCATCACATTCTTGAAGCAACCCTTGGAGGCTTCTTTGGGAACATTGCATCCAAATGTGGCGTGCTCATCGTCGCCGCCAACTCTTATGGTCACTGTCGCGTACCATGGTGAAGTCGGATGATCCGTTAACGGCGCCAATGACATATACTCGACAACATCCTTCTCTTCCTGCGTTAAGAGACATCGGAATGCATCTTCAGAATCCTGTGGAGGCAACCCGTGTATTCGATAGGTACGAAAAGGTAGCTTCGGAGAGGCCATCGGCAAGCACTCCACATTCTAAATTAGCTGCTGCTACTGAGCACTGAGACTAGCGGTTCTTACCCTGCCCTCGAGGGCTGGAAGTACGTAGACGGGATGTTGGTGACTACTAGAGTCTGTGGTGGGCTTGAGCGACAGCTACGCTAACCTTGCCTGGGTCTCGCGTACTCTGTACCCACTTCGGTATGTCACACAGCCGTGGAGCTACAGAAATGTGAGGATAATGGTGGGAGAGAGCACTTTCCGGTCCTGATCCTGCCGCGGCTTTCAATTTCAACCTCCTTCAACTAGCCGAAAACAGAGAAGGCTCGCGATATCAGTTGCCGCATCTTCATTGGTAGCTACTAACCATTTATAGCACAGTCAATGCCAATACTACGGTAGGGAGCAGAATTGAGTGCAAGGCAGGCGCACGGCAGGCGCATGACATGTAGTCATAAGGCATGAACTGGACCTGAATGGAAGTTTGAGCATTGTTACAACTTGTCAAAGCTTAGGGCCGTACGCTCCTCATTTGGCCACGCAGACGTCAAATGAGGACCAGTTCTATATGATATGAGAATCATATTTGACTTTATTATGACCATAATTTGGACAGATGCGTTCGAAATAATGAGATCTAATTGGATAATAGACGATTTGGCTACGTATCCTAGTACACACTAAGCAATCTTACAATTACTACGGTACCTGGCATCAGTATCCGTAGCACGGCGCTAGTATATTTGGACCAAAACAGACTGCAAACGAGACACTTAAGCTTTGAACGGTTAAGTGGTATTATTGTGGCCAATTGATACCAACAATTGTCTAAGACACTGAGGTGGCGTTGTATCCGAACTAGCTGCTACTAGCGCCGTGCTACGATCAATTATGCCCCCTACCGCAGTGGACGATTCTTAAGCGCACTGTGAGGGTCTCCTAGCATTATTTTTAGAACTCTGTTCCTGCTAAGTGCCAGTGGCACCTTACTACTTACTGGGAGAAGGGTTCTGGAAATGATATAGTATTGGTCCTTGGTGATTTAGCAGACGTTTTATTATTCTAATTAGGATCGTCAGGAGGCTCAAATGACCAAGCCATAATTTGGTTGTCATTTCTGAAGTAATATAATTTCATTGGATTTCAGATGTTTAGCTGCATAATTTTATGTAAACCAGATCATGTCACGGTTAGACTGAAACTAAGCACACATTGATGGTAATTTAGGCATATGCATCTCTTGGCATCCCTGACACAACTCTACCGTTTGCCATGTACTACTATGCGGCAGACTAACCATGCCCTCATAACAATTCAGAACAGAAAGATACACAGATAAATCTTTGAAATATACGACGTACCCTATCGGTTCCGATGTTACTACGTAGGAGATGGCTAAGTTCAGAGGCTGTGTTAATTTTCCTACTGAATCCTTCATAAACACTCACCGCTAGATCAATCCTTCGCCCAAACTCAGCCTCGCACCCAACATGCGAATGTGATGATTAAACTGTCCCAGTGCTCCATACACCTACAACTGAGAGAAACTTCCCAATGCATCAGAAAATATCCGCTTGTTGTCCACGAATCTCGCCCTACTCCTAGTGTCATATTTCACATGATGAGTCCACCATATAGCGCCGACCCCTAGTCACCATTCTCTCCCGCTGGCCTCGAAGTCACCATACCATCCGGGCCAGAGCCTCAGAAGCCAACTGACAGTCATAATTACAACAGGCCAGCACCGTCATCAAGTCTCAACCCAGGCGAGCAGAAAGACTTCAAGGCATATAATGGTAAGCGCCCTAGTAGGATCATTTATTTATCAAGCTAAACGTCGCAGATAGTGTGCCACATCACAATGGACGATCCAGACCTCCTTATGGACTAAGCTTTATCGCTTTTACTTGCGTAGTTACGCTTGTGACTGCAGTCGTGGTTGGCGCAGCTGTTGGGGGTGGACTTGGAAGCAGCTTAGCCCACGAACGGAATGAAAATGAGTAAGCATACAATGCACAATGACTGTTTTCCGAAATTTCACACCGCTAATTCATATGTTGTAACATATACAGAGCTTTACGACAGTCGATCATCGCTTCAGTTCCGAGTTGCTCAACATCTCAACCGCCGTCCGCAAGCAGAACCGTTTCATCAGCGACGGCAACATCGACGACAAGATCGGTAGACTATGTTGTAGCAGCTCCTGAGACTATCGACACCGTTGAGTTAGACTGCCCTGGTCTTGACGGCAACTCATATTTAACCGTCCGCGGCCAGACGTTCGATCTGCATTGTGGTGACAGCATGCAAGGTGACGACGTTGGAGCATTGATGGCTTACAGGCTCCCCGACTGCATCGAAGCGTGCTCTTATATGAATCGGGTTTGGGCCAATGCAACATTCTGTAACGCCGTTCTATTTGTCGCGGATGTCCAGCGCAATTATCCTCGTCAGCGTATGAACTGCTTCCTTAAGAATGCAACTACTATTTCGGCGACGAATCAGGAACATACTTTGCGCGCACAACTGAATACCGGCTGATGTCCGTGCAAGCTTGTTTGGTTGTACACCTTAACGACTGTAACATCAAAAATACCAAATGTATATAGCTCACTTAGCTATCTGGGAAAGAAAGCAAGTGGAGGAGGTCCAGGAAGGCAGAGCGAATCTGAGGTCTTGAATAAATATAGTGATGTCCGGAATCCCCATTGCAAGTCGAGACTTCTATTGACAAGGAAGAAAAGTGCGGCCAACACAAGCAACTCCACGCTCAGAGACAGGCGGGCTTTCTGGGGTAACAGTTGTCCTATATCAAGCATCGAGGATACATTCTGAACCATGCTCTAATCTTTCGTTGTGGCCATCTCCATTGGCGCTTCCTGAGACGTCTCTGATGCCAAAAGCTGCATTCGTCCCAAGGTATCACAAAGAGACGGGGTGGTAAGGCCCGGGTAAGAGATGTGGAACCGAGTCTTCGAGGTCAGGTCTTGTTCAAATGATTCCGTCATCATGATCGCAAAATATTTCTGCTGTCAGCCGTCCAGATTTCTTTGTACCTTGCTCACATGCAACCAAAGGAATCGTTTCACAGGACCACGATTATAGACCAATGCAAGCCGAATCGTGATCCCAGCGCTACAGTCTTAGTGTCTATGGATCAGATGCATGGACATTTATTGAATGGAATGACGTCTTGTATTGACCTTACACACTCTACCCACAGCGCAATCCGACCAGCTCCGAACGAGGACCGAAGGACTTCAAATAAAATCAAAGAAATGCTCTCGTAACGACCACTTGGGGACGAGATAAACTGACAGTTCAGAGCTTTATATTCCAGGTCATTGTGGTGGAAAGGCAGCTGAAAACCGCGCCGTAGAGCCTATTCTCTGCTGCCTTTTCACAGGTATATAGGTACATACCGGGTGCAGAATACATCATGAGCAATTCTCCTTCCCGCCGGAAATTGGATGTGTGGGGAAGTCCAACACTTTGCGTTCTGCTGGATTGAAGCCCACAGGACATAGCAGAGGCAGAACAGAGGCTAGCGGTGTAGGACAGTTGGACAAGCTCACGTGGAGGGAGCTCTTACGACGTTTAATACAAATCGTTCTGCTTGATTGTCATCACTCTGCATGCTCTCCATTCACGCCGTTAACTCGCATTTGCAACGGGACCTCGAGCACAACAGCGCCATTCTTGCCACTAGGGAATTTTCTCCATCTGCCCAGTCTCATCTCCTTTCCCGTGCCAGCCACAATACACAAACCTATGGTATCGCCCTCCTTTTTCCCACCAAACTCGTTCTGAGTCTCTTTCCTCCGCTCGAAGGCTGCCAGCGAGTTGATCACCCCTCGTACCGGGCCTTCATGATCCTTCTCATGCTTACTACTCCCAATATCTCCATTAACGATCCTTTCAGGCGTACCAACCACGCCAAATGGGAGCAAAGCTCGTTTATCGTCACTGACCTTCCACACCCTAACGCACCCATCCCAGCTCCCGCTCACAACAACATCCGTCCCAAACACAGTCGCCAATGCCGTAATCCCTCTAGCAATCGGTCTTCTTGTATCCGCCTTCCTCAACCGCTCCAGCACTTCTTCTCCAATCTCACTCGAAGCTTTCTCAAGCGGCTCTGGCTCTTCAACCCCATGCGCTTTCTCGACAACAAACACTGGCTTCTTCCTGTGCACGCTCCATAGTTGAATCGCACCGCTATCACTACCTGTCACGAAATGAGCTGGCGGCAGGGCGGCCACGCAGTCAACGGATCCTGTCACGTGTTCAGCGTGCTTTGAGCTGTCCGCGCGGTAGACGGATTGCATCTCATCGACCACTTTCCACAATCTGGCGGTTCGATCTCGAGCTCCAACGGAAACACATTGATCCAAGCTCATTGCTGCAATACTTGTAACGTGGTCTTGATGACCGAAGAGGGTCTCCACATAGGCTAATGAGTCAGGGCCGTTCAGGCTGTATGTTTTTATTGTTCGATCAGCGCTAGCAGAGAAAAGCTGAGCGCCTACGCCAGGTTGAGACGACTGAGGAGCAAAGGCGAGCGATAGGACAGAATCACGGTGGGTGGTAAAAGTCTTAAGTGGTGCGAGTGTTGATGCCAACCAAATTATCAACCTTCTATCAGTAGAAGAGCCGGTTGCAACATAGGTTCCGCAGGGCGATATGGCAAGGGACAGTATAGGAGTAGTGTGACCATGCTGCTGAGGTAAATCGGCATTGATTTTAACACCTCGAATGTAGCGCAATTTTTTTGGCCGCTTCCGTGGAGGTGGTGGAGGGCGTTTCGAGAGTCCAGACTGTGGAGCGACTGATTTAGGGGACGCAAGCTGCCACTTGATCAAGTTCTTGTCCTTACTTGCTGTATATATGTAAGGAGCTCGAACAGCAACGGCTGTTGTAGATTCTGTATCAGCGTGAAAGAGGCAATGTGTGGCTGCGGGGAAATCGAGCTTCGAAGCTATCAATCGATATTGTCGACCTTTGACCTCATCAACGTCTTCTCTGAGTCGTTGTGCAATGCGGTCTTTATCTATCTGTTCGGCATCGAACCCTGTCTCATCGACTTCTTGCCGGATATTCTCAAGATACCTTTCGGCAAGGCGAGCTCGCCGTTCCGCCGCCGTCTCATCCTCCTCTGATGTGGCCTCAGATTCTGAGGCAGACTCGGCCTGTACATCGTCTTCGCCAGAATCGCTGCCGGATATGGATTCGTCACGGTCCTCTTTTTGGGGAGTCTTGCCGCTCTTCCTGGCCTGCCGAGACTCGCTGTACTCCGCCTGCACACTTCTCCGCTTCGCTGGCTTGCTAGGTCTGTCATCTGTACGTTTCCGCTTTCGTTGGGATGCGGGCAGTGTGAAGAACGAAGACATCACCTAACATAGACAGTGTTGGACTAAAAGTCAAGTACAGTCGAGGACCGAACAGCTTTCTCCCACGCCTGGCATATCCTGGTGGAAGTGCGACTTAAATTGACTTGAATCAAAAAAAGTTGGAGATCATCCGGGAATTATTTCCTCCTTGGCAATGAAGTAATTCGCCTGAACTTGCTGCTGGAATCAGGCATCTTAGACGCGGCATCAGCTTCGAAAGTAATTGTTAGAGCTCTGATTGATTGCCATATCCATTCAAGCAAGACAACCACCCTACACCCCTTTACGAATCTTTCTCATCTTGTTGAAAGCCTCACTTGTCTCGAGCGAGAACTCACCATGTACAAGTTCCTAGTACATACCGCTTCTGCCACTGACCTCTTCATAGGGAAGTCCTACTAGGCCTGACAGGCAAAGACTTCACTCTCGTGGCTGCCTCGAAAGCTGCTATGCGTGGTGCGACAATACTCAAAGCCTCCGACGACAAGACACGAGCTCTGAATAAGCATACCTTGATGGCCTTTTCTGGAGAAGCAGGCGACACCGTCCAGTTCGCTGAATACATTCAAGCCAATGTCGCACTCTACTCTATGCGCAACGAGACAGACCTGTCGCCAGCGGCGGTCAGCAGCTTCGTCAGAGGCGAGCTTGCTAAAGCTTTGAGATCACGGAAGCCGTATAATGTGAATCTATTGCTAGGTGGCTGGAGCGAACTGGATAAGAAACCGAGTTTATATTGGATCGACTACCTCGCAAGTGCGGCAAAGGTGCCATATGCTGCGCACGGATACGCTCAGTAAGGGGGCTTATAGCGTTCGGCTCTTTCAAAACTTTGCTGACTGGATTGAAGATATTACTGCCTCTCCATTCTAGACAAACATCATCATCCCGACATTACATTCGAGCAGGGGATGAAGATCCTGCGGATGTGTACAGACGAGTTGCAGAGACGGTTACCCATCGACTTCAAGGGGATGACTGTCAAAGTGATCAAGAAGGACGGTATCCAAGAAATCGAGTATGATACTAGCAAACAAGTTCTGAGTGCATAGGCTGTTTGCACATCTTGCCGCGTCACCGAGAATTGGCATCACGCGACATCTAGCATAGCATGGAGTTAGGGTTAGAGCCATCTGTTATCGCATAGCAGGATTGATTTCCATTGTCACTCTGTGTTACTTGTACAGCAGGCCCTTCGTCTTGTATGACGGATCTGTAGCAAAGGCGCCTGCAACTCCTGTGATGAGCGTACTGCACAGCCAAAAGATCAATCTTGTCTCCCTTTCAGTAGCCTCTTTGTGACCTTGTCCTTCTCAATGATGTAAACATGCGCTCCCCATCCTGACAATGCATCTCTATCTACTGCATTCAGTAGAGCTTGCGAAACAGTCTCGAAGAGCTCGTCCGGTTCCTGATAATTAGTCAGTCTCCTGCATCTAACCCAAAAATATCATGTGGACAAACCAAGTCTGGCTCCCACAATCCTTCGCAGGTTCCGAACAACTGATCACTCGCTGTACCGCCAACAATGAAATCCTTCGCGAAATCTATGCAACCTATCGAGTCAAAGCCACATATGAATGGCTTTCCCGTAGTATGATTGATACCAGCAAGCACCGGGCTAACAAAGTACGGTCCGAATCTTCTTTCGTACAGACTCGAGCTGACAAGATTGGCCAACGTCTGCGGACTAATATTCCTCTCTTCTCGCAATCGGTACATATTGACTTTATACCGGAATAGGTCTGATACTGTCGACACATCGGTTGCCAGCCCTGTAAGGCCGAGGTAGCAGGACGGTGCGTATTGAAAGATTTTCGGGAAATTGTTCGAGACTGTTAGGGACTGCAGGCCGAGACGAAGGTCACAAGCTATGGCTACGCAACCTTTGCCAACCATTGCGACACAGGCACCGCCATCTGTAGCAGCATAAGTATGCTGCAGAGATCTATGCAGACAAAGGGATGGGCATACTAATATCGAACGGTGAGCTCTGAACGAACGTTAGCGTAGCTCGAGCATTCACGAGGATATGTAGACGCTTACCATCTTAATGAAATATATGGGCTCCCTGTAGGTTGCTTAGAAGAGCTAACCAGAGAGTTCGTGAGGGACGTCGCAGTGATGTTCAAATCTTCGATGGAATAGCTGTATTCCCTTCAAAGAATTGGGTGACCGACCGGTTTTGGAGCTCTGTACCGAAGTTCCAGGCGACAAGCGCAACGCGTCTGAGCCGCAGTAGCGCTAAAAGTTTAAGCTCCCCACGTTGACGCTCGCCGCAGCCGGATTGCTCCCGAAGAACAGGTATGATCTTTTGCGAAGCAGGCAAAAGATAGTCCCAAGCACACTCGCTTGAAGCGGAATTTGTGCTACATCCTCCGGTCGTCCTATCTTAAACTATATCATCCATCTCAGTATCGCTCTAATACTGTTGATTCCCTACGCACTTACGTCACATTTCCACTTGGAAAACACAAGCTGTTGGTCACCAAAGCATGACTTCCCATGTGGTGGTGATAGACTCCACTGCCAGAAGAGCCGTTGTCAAAGTCACTGCTACCAAGCATCTGAGCGATGTCCTGGAAGAAGCTTGTAGCAAGCTGGGGACATCGGCTAGCCAGTATGGACTAAAGTAAGTGCGTACCCACGATACTCTCTTCTACATCTCACCTTCTCCTCGCCTCTTCTCAGATGACTGACCGTTATGACAGGCACAACAACAAAATCGTAGACCTCTCTCGGACTTTCCGCTTATCCGGCCTCTCCTCTGGTGCAAAACTTGAGCTTGTCCAGTTATCTCGCTCTGCCTCAGTCGTCTCAGTCGCATTACAGCTGCCCGAACCGGAAGGCAACACCAGATTGACAGACAAATTCCCAAGTACCACGACCTTATGGCTGGTATTGCGCAAGTTCGAGGCAGGTGTTGCAGGCGATGCAAGCACGAAGCGGAATTTGACCGCTAGGGGAGCGCCAGTCACGGATGATGGTTCGTCTGGAGCAGGACGATTATACTATCAGACACCGGTCCTACAAGTAATGAGTCGAGAACTGTCTTCCTTTACCGACTTGCAAAAGACGTTAGCCCAGCTGGGCTTTAATAGTGGGAGTATGCTCATAAGGTTAAATTTTAAAACATCAGAAACGCCATTGGAGGAGGCTATGGTCCAGATTGCAGAGTATTTCAAATCCGTCAATGAAGGAGAAGACAACAAGGAAGAGGGACAAGACAGAAGTGCTCCAGAAGCTCCATCAGAAGCAAGAGACCTAAATCCAGCTTCAAATGAAGCAGATGTACCAGCAAGCGAAGCACTGACGGAGACTTCTCCATCAGAGACAACCCCCGCTACCTCAGATCTATCGACCTCTGTCCCTTCTGCACAAGGAGCACAACCAACATCCACAGGCCGCCCAGTTCAAATCTTCTCTCCCCCGACCTCCAACACGCCATCCGCCGCCCTCGCGACCTACAATCCGGCCGATTACGTCCCCTCAATTGAACATGCAAAAGCCCACCAACGCCACCTCCAAGAAAAATCGCGCAACGCCCGCCTCCCGTCCGAGGCCGAGCTAGCCGAGCAAGAAACCGCTGAAGCCGAGAAGCTCAAAGCCCTCAAAGACGTCGAGATCAAGATTCGCTTCCCTGATCAAAGCTCTGCTGTATCGACATTTGGACAAGACGATACAGGCGCGGGACTATACACCTTTGTGCGAGATGACTGTCTTGATGAGAGATGGAAAGGTGAAAAATTCTTGCTATCATACTCGGCGAATAAAGGGTGGGTTTTTGTCCCTGATGATCCGAATAAGAGGTTGATCCGGCATTTGGGCCTGAAAGGGAGGGTGTTGGTGAACTTTAAATGGGATGAGAATGGTGGAGCTAGCATGGCTGCATTAGCGACTAAGGATGTCTTGAAGGGGGAGAGAAAGAAGGAAGCACAGGTTTTGAAGGCGCCGGAAATACCGGCCACGGCTGTAGAAGGGGATGAGGAGGGTGTGAAGGTGGATCTGGGAAAGAAGGAAGATGAGGGTGGTGAGAAGAAGAAAAAGGGTATGCCGAAATGGTTGAAGCTGCCTGGGAAGAAATGATGATAGGATAAGTAGGTGGTTAAAATCTGGGTTACGAACAATGAAACGGATAGCTGTTATGAAGAAAAAAGACAACGAGCAGGCAATAGATGATAGTTTCACAAACAGACCATTCACACTGTTTCGGACCTTTTACTGTAAGCACAGAGTCCCAACGAATTATCGGATTCCTGGAGAAAGAGTCTGAGCTAGAAGTGATCACTCGACCTTGTTGACTGGATCTCCGGGATGAGAATCACCTTCGCCATTCACCATCTTCAGCGGCCGTTGTCTTCCTCAGAGACCCTAATGCAGCTCCATCACCGTACACAACTAGCTCTTCACGTCATCTAGTGTCCACCCGTCCTCCTCGACTCGGCAATGACCCCTTGCAACTCATCGACCTTTCGCTTCGCCCGTCCAAATGTCCCGAGCTGCAGAAAGACAAATACGTTAGCCGGATAAGAATCTTCAACATGGGAATCAACTGCGTCAACTCAGGCGCTGTGGTGGTGAAGGCCTCTTCTTAATCGAGTATTATAACAAAGTTCGATACCACGGCTCGGCAACTACTCCAACGTGTAAGGCCAAACGTACTCTCTTCTTGGCCAACTTCCTCGCCCGCTTATCCTTGCCGTTCCTCAACAGTTCGATCACTCGTCTCTCGTAGGGTGCCAGGCCAGCGACTTCTTTGACGATTTCACGCACGAAGGCGGTGCGTTTCGAGAGGTGGCCTTTGGTTCGCGAGATGCGGAGTTTGCGTTCGAGGGCGGTGGTTGGCTGAACAGCGAAAGGGGTGTCAGTATGGGGACTTCGAGGAAGCAAGCTTCATGCCAGGCTATGCGAATGCTGGGTTCCTGCTGTGGAGGGGTTCTGGAGAAATGGTTGCTTGATTCTCGACTCGCTCTGGGGCGAAGCTTTGGAAAGCTGCAGAATGGAAGAACTCACATGACCCTTGTCGAGACCTTGGATGACGTTGGAGCGTGCTTTGACCTCTTTCGCCATCTTGGAGTTGTCTTCGATGGACTTGGTAGAGGTGTCTATGTGACTGTCTGTCGTCAATTCTTCAATGCTAGGTGGTGTAAATTGATTCTCCAGTGTGCGCGGGAATTCGAGCTAGCAACTTTTAGTGTCTTGGTATGATATCGGTCTTGGCATAATTCTGGCAGGAGAACTTTCCAACCTTCCATATACCCTGCACAACCGAATAGTACTGCGGGTAAAGCTGAAGACAAATGCAGCTTTAATGAACCAAGTCACCTTCATAACCTTGGAATAATGTATTTGTTGGACTCTGATGGATCAGAATCTGGTTCTACGGCGATGGAGGACTATTGTCAAAGACCTGCGCTTATGTTGTGATCAGAAAGGAGTAATTAAAGTGATCTGGATTTTCTAGGTCCGACTGCAATCGCAAGTAAGAATTTCTAGCTGAGAAGTACTTCAAAGCCAATCTGAGGGCACTTTCTTCAGGCCTATGCAATGTATGTGCGATCGGACATCCCGAGAGCCTGAGCAATAACCCTCGCGCTGACCACCTCTTGAATCGGCTTCGGCAGGTCTTGTAAATTATGAAGACAATCACTCTCGATGAAAAGGTAGCTTGACATCTCTATGCATTTGTCGCTGGCCGGCCACTTGGCTTAAGCCTAACCCGTTGCGACTCGCGTCTGCTGAATCCAACGTTCGGAGAAATCCACCAGCTTTCGACACGCTGGACTATCAACCTCTAAAAATCACGTACAGCGGCACGGGGAGCTAGGATATCATGAGCGACTTCTGCAGTCTCCCAAGCCAAGACTTCGTCTCGATGACCAACGAGTCTCATCAGGATACCTCTCAATCTGCGGCTCTGTTGCCAGCTGCATGCTCGTGCCTCTCGTATGAAATTCGACGGAATCGTTTGCAGTTCGTCAATAGTGCTCTTGGGTCCGACGGAAAAAGCTTCATCTACACGCCAGTTCCTGGAGGAACGGCCATTGACAGGCAGCACAGTTGTGTGAGTGGATCGTACTTGATTCTCAAGGTTTTCAGACCTCGACCACTCGTTGCTGTGATATTCCTTGCTCCCTTCAGCAATCATAGCATGTAATAGGCGATATTCCAAAGTCAGCTGCTCCTGCCTTAGTCCTCGTGCTAGCAATGTAAGGTGATTTTTGTGCAGCTTAACCTCCTTCAGATTGGGCCACAACGCCTAAATTAGTGGGAAAAGGGTCAGCGAGTGTTGCAGAGTAGCAGTCCTGACATTCATCAACCGCCTTCCCTGCATCGTCTTCTCCAAACTCCTCCTCCAGGCGGATCAGCTTATGAAGGCCCACTCTATCATCTGACAGGCGTTGATAGAGGTCTGGGTCAGGTGGGACTGAGAGAAGTTTCATGATTTTGACAAGCAGAGGATGCGTGTTATGCTGATGTTCGGAAGTAAGTATCGCCATGGCGCTGGCACGACCCTCTTCGGATGTAACATCAATTTTTGTGACGCGCTCCACAATGTTTAGGATTTGGTGGATTCTGTGGACTGTCTCTTGGGAAGATATCGTGACGGAAGTCAACAGGAAGTACTCTGCCGAAGGATAAAAGAGAGGGATTCGAGATCTGGCAAGTTGATGTCTCCATTCGCCGTGGGAAGGTTGCCAAAGAGTGTGGAATTATAGTTAGGTAGGAACGATATGTAGAAGGCACGATATTTGTAGCAGAAAGGTATGTTCAATGATGCCACTCATATTGACTCATAAATACTGGTAGATGTGTCCAAACCTAGAGGAGCACGTGTAGTGCTGAATTGAGAGTAGGTTACCACCTTTAGCATGATCCGGGGTATAATGATATGGTGGCCTATCGGCTCAATCACAAGATGAAGATGATTGTCATCAGTGTGCTCCTTGGAAAATTCATGATTGTAGGAGCTTTGACGGTGGCCACCTGATAGACAGATCTCGGTATCCTGCTTGTGACAGCGTACAAATATGCTTCTATCGAGTAGTATTTTCAAGCAACAGTGGCTAAAAACACCCCACGGCCCGAGGAACTTGACCCAGTGGGTGTTACCACATGCAGTCCACAGGATGCGAAATCATACTTAAAAGCTCGACGTTTTCGGAACAAAAAGCCAATATATGCATCTGGACTGTTTGTAAGCCCCGCACTGGTGGTCACTCTGTATTGACTTCAGCATTTAGAGAAGCATCTGCTCATGATTGGTCAATAGCTGGAGTCTTTGAAACGGAACCCACCTGGAAAATCTCGGGACAGATCGTGCACCGTCTTAGGGCACTTCGTACCAAGGTTGAGTAACTTCTGGATAGCCGCCTTGGAGGACGAAAAAGGCGGTGGGGACCAGGAAAGTCTGGTGTTGCAGACTAAGCGCAATTGTGATTTGGCTTGTGCCGGGCTCTATATGACTCGCAACAAAGAATTATTGAAGGCGACCTACATGAATGCGTGTCGTCAGAGTGGATGCTTCATTGCGTGGTTTGTGTGAACTGGCTTGAAAGAGATGATGCTGTTTGCTGTGGATGACTGGGAACGAGATTCCGTGGCACGGCGGGCAGGGGCGATGAAGCTACATCACTGTAGTATATATAGGGCCGAATTCTCAGCGGATACGTGTTGTATATGATCACGGTCAGGGCGATATCATCTTCCTTGTAAAATGTTATTCTATCATCTTTTCCGCGCCATGTGTAAGATTCTGGCCATGCCCAGACGTTGGCTGACTAATGCTGATGCGCACGGCCCGAGGCATGGAATGATGGAGAAGAGCGCCACCACTTCGCCAAATACTGCATCATTGGTTAACAACCAGATTCCCACTGTTAGAAACCCCCCACATATTGAAAAGCCCCAAAGGGCCATCCTTAGGTCTCCGCGAGGCATCTGCTCCTCAGCCCACCCCCCATCACCCTCAGAGCTCTCGATCAACGAGTGTTGTGCGCCTCGTGCACCGCTAAGAAGCCACACCGACAAAAATATGGGTATCTCAAAATCTAACAGAATCATTATCCTGCTGGTGATTGACTCGGCATTTTTTCTGCTCGAGCTTGTTGTTGGTAGGCAGTCCTGCCATTATTTCTTACGGTATCAAGCTAAGACAATTACCCAGGCTATGCTGTTCATTCACTCGCTCTCGTTGCGGACTCATTCCACATGGTTCGTCCTCGACCCACGTCTACATTGGTCGGTTCTGACGGGATATAGCTCAATGATGTCTTATCATTATGTGTTGGTCTGTGGGCTGTCAAAGTTGCGAACAACAAGAGCAGCTCAGCAATGTATACGTACGGGGTGAGCTTCCCAGCTATCTCCCCAGAACGCATACGCCTAACAGGGTCATAGTGGCAACGAGCAGAAACACTAGGTGCACTAGTGAATGGTGTATTCCTTGTTGCCCTCTGTATGTCCATCTTCCTGGAAGCTATTCAACGCTTCGTCCAACCTCAAGTCGTGTCGAACCCAAAACTAGTGATGATTGTGGGTATTTTGGGATTGGCATCAAATATTCTGGGACTTTTGCTATTTCACGAACATGGGCACGGACATAGCCATGGCGGCAAAGAGCATGATCACAACAGTCATGATTCTCTCAGGAATGCCGAAGAAGGCTTCGGTCACTCTCATAGAGATCAGAGCCAATCTCGAGTCGGAGACGAGGCGGGCAATATTGCAGATGTCCTACCCGAGGCTGTGGTCGGCGTATGGAAGCCCCGATCGCATTCCAATGCTCACAAATTCAGCTCCTCTGACGAGGACAATACTACCGCTGCTCCTACTAGGGCGGCCACTTTCAATCCTACCGAAATCAGGGGTCACCGTCGCCGCACATCAGGATCGTTTGGTAGAGGTTTTGGCTCGGTTGGTCATATACTAAGTCATCCTGCCTCTTTTCGACAAGAGATCATTGCTGCTAGTCGACTGGAAGAACGTCCGGATTCAGAACCGGAGGAAGAGGCCATTACAGATGACTCTGGCCCATCATCTCCTAATGAACGCTCGACGCTTCTAAAATACGCCAATGGTTCTTCGAGGAAGCAGTCTTGTTCTCGCGTGGCCGGTTCAGGTGGGCACAAGAGCAACAAGAACAAAGACCACCGTCATGACTCCTGGCATGCTGATCATCATCATGCTCAACCACCTGCTGAAGGAGGTGGTCATGGCCATTCACATGGGGACCTCAATATGAGAGGTGTTTTCCTTCATGTTATGGGTGACGCACTTGGCAACATCGGTGTCATTGCAAGCGCGCTCTTCATTTGGCTCACAAGCTACAGCTGGCGGTATTATGTCGATCCTGCCATCTCCCTCCTCATCACGATCATCATTTTGGCCAGTGCCATACCTCTGTGCAAAGCCGCCAGCAGAATCCTACTTCAAGCCGTACCTATCCATTTAAGTGTGGACGAAATCAAAGCAGACATTGAAGAGCTTCCGGGCATTGTGAGCTGTCATCACCTCCACGTTTGGCAGCTCAGCGACACAAAAATCGTTGCCAGCCTTCATATCCAGGTTGATTGTGAGGTTGAAGGTACTGGATCAGCAAGTTACATGCATCTCGCTAGACAGGTACGAAGATGTTTGCATGGATTCGGTATTCACAGCTCGACCATACAGCCAGAATTCTGCTTGCAAAATGGTGAGGCAGAGCGCACTCCTACTTCGGGGTCGACGGCCCGAGGGGATGGATCAGGCTTCAGCCCAAAAGCAGGTCCTGGCGGCAAGACCAGCAAGGCTGGCAGTGTTACATCCGACCCGAGTGCGTGTCTGCTGGATTGTGGAGAGGAGTGCCCTGGCAAAGACCAGTGCTGCCCTTTACCCATTGCCAAAAAGTGATCATTGCCTGTTTGCTGTTTTAGCTGTGCATATGGCTGGAGTTCGGCAGGAATGCATCCGAAGCGAAAAAGGGCGTGTAAAGTTGTAGATGGGTTTCAATGTGTGACTGTGGAAATTGCATGTATCGGACGGGATGGTTAGTATTGCTACGAATAGCTTCTTTGTACATTAGAGCAGCTGTTAAGCGTGACGTGACTGATGGTTGTCACGGTGCCAACGAGGCATCATAGCAGATGTTAGACTCAGATCAATTGAGTTGTGGTGCTGAAATCAGGTTGGAAGAGGTGATGAGCGTGACTACTAGTATATTAGAACGCTTTACGGAGTATTTCCCAGAACTTCAGGCATGAATTCTTCCGGTCTTGTTCGTTGGACGTTTCAGATGCCGCATCCACAGGTGTCAGATATAAGCTACTTTTAGGACCTCTGGGGGCCGTGGTCCTTTTGGCTCAACAACAGATTACCACTATTTCATCGATCAATCATCCAACCAACACGGATTTTGGGGTTGGTCTCTTAACCAAGATGGCACGTAATTCTGAAGTCTACTCCTTAGCTTGGTATCGGCCACGTTATATCGAGTACTTCGATAGCCAATAGTGTAGAACAGGAAAGCAGTTCTGAAGGAATCTATCTCCAGCGTACTTCGGTTGTGGAAGAATGATGTGCCGAACGTTCCAAGAGTCCGCAAGCGAGCCTACAGTTTACTGGTAGCGTAATAACAACCCAGCTGGAATTTCACAGCAAAATCACTCCGCTACATCGTGGGAACACTGCTCTTAATAAGGAAGTGTCGCCATCAGTGACAGAGCGGATAGTGCAGACAGTTGGGCAGCTGCATCAATATCCAGGCCGCCCATGAAGAGAAGTCCAGGATTATCGGCACAGACACATGCACCCAGGTCTGTACCACACCCATCCGAAACCAACGGCGGAAATGATATAATCCGTACAGCGCCGTCGGTATCCGCAGGCCCAGTATTCTGGCGCCCTCGATTCCAACGACTTCCGCGCCGGGTGCAGGCTCTACTCCACCAGCCTCCTTGCGCAACTACTTCTTGTAGTCGTGATTCAAGATGCGGCCCGTCAGGACGCTGCAGAAAGGGAGCCAATGCCGTGGGAAATGTACGTTGGGCCGATAGCCAGCTGGCTAAGGTGATACTCCCTCTCCACGATTCCCATCTGCCAGACCATGAAACAGATGCCTGTGAATACCAGGGAGCAAATGACGTCCGGCTCGGCCTAAGTGGAACATTGGGAGCAGGACGTAGGCTTTGCGCTTAGTAGCCAGCGTGCTGCGCTCCTCTGGCGCCGTTGGCAGGTGACGCGGGGAAGAAATAGTCCCATTCCCAACGATGGAGCGCAGGGTTTCGGGGACCAGGAGGACCACAACCAAGAGCATGAAGACGGAGCGACTCAAGAGGAACTTGAAGTAAAAGATGCTGTCCGCCAAGGCCTGGCCCGATCGCGGTGCCGAATTCGGCAAGGGCGCTGTAGTTGCCCATGTAACCGCTGCGCTTGCTGACATGGACCAAGTCACCGATGAGACCGGCCACCCAGAGCCGTGGTGGAAGCCGAACCCGCTGCCTGCATGGCTCGCAGGACGAGGTTTGCTTGGTAGGAGTTGCCGATGCACGCGCCTAACTATGTATACTACCGATACAGTGACAATGTAAAGCTGCCGGCGACCTAGACTGTCGCTGATGGAGCCCCATATCATCGGTGCGATGCCTTGAGATATGGGGTACTTACCAGGAGAAGGGTTCTGGAAATGACGCGGTATTGGTACTTAGTAATTTAGCAGACGATTTCTTGATAGTATTTTAGGGATTGTCCGGAGTCTCAAATGACCATACTTTAGTCATACTAACTTGACTGTCATTTCCGTAAATCCGTAAAATGACGTCTAAGAAAACATGATTTATTGGATTTTAGATGTTTAGCTGCAACGGTTCGGCCGGAACTAAGCACACACTAATGGTAATTTAGGCATAGTTTTCTGAGGGCTTCTCCTGCTAAGTACTTTGAGGTGATTGTGAGATGGACTTAGCGGACTGAGGAAATCTGCCAGACTGGCAATGGAAACGTTGGCTACTAGTATCTTCTGGTACCTGGTGAATACGCTACATGACGGTTCGCCAGCGACTTCGCTTGCTGGGCCTGCTGCTTCCAGATCCGTGGTAGTGCTGGCCGCACTCGAGTTCTGGATGTCGTCCGGGGAAATGGTCTTTTCCCTTTTCTCTTCTCGGGCAGCCATTACTGTAGTTCGACTTCCAGAATAAAGGCACAGGACTTCAAGAAGCATGAATCAAATAAAATAAAAATTAGAGTTCAGTAAGGACAGACAGGCATGATCATAAGTAGTCAAGGAGATGAGCGTGTTTCACCACAATGCTCGGACTTGTTCATTCCTTGTCGCTCTACACAACGATGTAGCACTGTAGCGTTGTATTAGTTAACCTACGATATTAGCTTGTCCGCTGGCTTCTGATTTCTGCGATTGAAGAGGATCTTGACTAGCCATCTATATCTATTGAATTAGTCTCGTACTACAGCTAACCAGGTGTTCCCTCACTTGGTTACTACCGCTTTTAACTGATGTCATCTCCGGGATTGTTTTCTCATTGATATGCATTTCGAGTTCCTTCCCAGTAAATACACCCAACTGGCAGCCGGGGTCTAAGCGTCTGATATACGTTGATTTATTTCTTACCTGGGTCCTAGTCATACAACAGACACCAAGACAATTCACGCATTACCTACGCATGTTCCTAAGCCTTTCCGCTAGCAGTATTGGCCACAGTAGACCAATCAGTCATGATGGCAGCTAAACCTTATCCTCGCATCGGCGTTGCGGCTTTGATCATCAGTCCCTCCGATGAGATTCTGATGGGGAAACGTAAGGGCGCTCACGGAGGAGGTATGTTCATTACAATTTCTTACCGAGTGGTGACTCACGCTGCTCGTAACTTCCCCGGTGATCTTCAGACGTTCAATGGCAAACCTTCTCCGTCGAACTTGGACGCTGACCCTTTCATCAGGTACCCTTGCCCCTCCAGGTGGCCACCTCGAGCACGGTGAATCGCTCGAGGAGTGTGCGGCACGTGAGACACTAGAAGAAACCGACCTCGTCGTTAGCGGCATGCGCTTCCTGACCGCCACCAATGATATTTTTAGCGAGAGGGACAAGCACTACGTAACTTTGTACGTCGCATGCGAACTTGAAAACCCCTATGCTGAACCCAAGGTAAGCCGAAAGAGCTCTTATGCAGCGGTTGTGCAATAAAGACCATTTCAACAAAAACAGGAGCGCTGACGGAAAGCGTAGATCATGGAGCCAGATAAATGCGAGGGCTGGGAGTGGGTGAAATGGCACCAGGTCGCTGCTTGGGCTGATGCAATGGCCTCTGATGGCGACAATAGTAATCAAATTGGCGGAGGAGAGAATAGAGCCAAGACGCTGTTTTTGCCTTTGTTGAATCTGTTCCGACAGCGGCCAGGGTTTGATCCCGTGGCTAGCTTCCGCCGCGTTTGAACATGCAAGCCTGATATTATGGTGGTGCTCAATGCCGCAGAAACTCTTGCTGATTACTGTATGGAGCTGTGCATCAGAAGCCATTACTACTACTTATACGCCAATTGTAGAAGATACAATTGGCTCTTCTTGTATTGGAGTGGTGCTAGTACTACTATTATAGTGATTACGACGGAGGGAGTGACATAAGGGGGGAACGGTTAAAGCTCAGCTGGCTCGGGTAGCAGCTAAAGATCAGAGAGTTCAGAGGAGGATACTGGTTCCTCAAGTTGTACCCAAGTGACTACCTATCGGTGGAGGCGCGGCTGGAGCTGGTGGCGGACATGATCGCCCAGGTCAAGGACACGGTGATCAACAATCAGAGGGTGCACGATATCGCGTAAAATACGCTGCAGGACAATTTCACGCTGCACACGTCCAACCAGGCGTCGGGCAGGGCCACGACCTTCACAACCAAGCGGCTGATCTTTGGCACAGGTCGCTTCGGCCGGCGCTTTAGTGCTCACACAGCACAGCACCCTCCACCGGCTTGAAGTGGGCTTCCGCATCTAGCAGAGCAGCAGCAGCAGGGCCTTCTTCAAGGACATGAAGCTGCTGGAACCCAAGCTGCGATTAAGATTAACGACGAGTGGCGCACCTTCTGCGTATGCCGCGAGGACGAGGCGGTGATAACGGAGACGAGTGGACTGTAGACTGTCAGCGGACAGAGCGATTGTTCCGCCGCCGGTCGGTCGAACAGCGGGTTCAACACGATGGTGCTGCAAGGCTGCAAGGTGGCGGATTCGATGGGCAAGGTAGTCGACAGCATGCGCAGGCGGAAGCCATACTTCGAGGTGCCGATGGTTGATCTTTGGGAGGAGGAGCAAGCAAGTGAGCGATTGGATGGAATTTACGGTAGCGATTTGAGGAAGGCTATGACCACGGGCGTGGGACACCTGGCCAACGCATTCCCGGATCTACGGGAGGATAGGAAGGCGAAGCTGATCGGACCAAACCTTGAGGGCGTGGGTTGGTATCCCACTGTTAATGAGGATTCTAGAGCTGCTGGACGTCCCAGCAAGTATTGTCGGAGATGCGTGCGGTCTGTTCAGGGGCATCGTGGCGGCCATGATAAGTGGGCATTGTGGTGCTTCCGCGGTATTGGATGATTTCGAATACTAGTAGCTTTTCCTTTGCAGGTACTCACCTCTACAAAATAGAATTACAAAGCCAACTAAAAGCGATTATTTTGCTTACCTCGAACCTTTTCCGGAGAAGTGACTCAGACTTCGATGTCCAACCTTGGCCAGTGTTACATAAGCAAATTCCTTCACTTTCTTGAGACCAAAGACGATTCATCATAAGTCACTCCGCCTGCAGCACGGCGCCAAGCACCACCACTGCTCAGTGCCACTTTTCGATTCCTTGATCTTCACGTGATGCTCAGATCACATTTAATAGTTATTTTTTTGTTCTTGGCGGACACGATATTGCGAAAAGAAGTGAGAGTATCCCCTGTCACTGAATGAACACACCACAAGAAGCTTTCCAATTCAGTCTGCTCTTCTGGCAATTTCGCTGTAAAGATGGACATCTAAAAATTGACGAGATGAAGAGATCAAGTCATGACTCATAGACGTTCAAGGACCGAACTCATTCATGACGGAACTCTTCGCATGGAAATGAGTGAATCTGCCTACTAACTGGTAACGTACCCATACTGCACCCCCATATGCACGATTTTGAGGGCCAATATCTCCGTTCCTACCAAAATTTCAAGCCACCAATTTCAGCTTGCCGCCATTTAACGATATTCATCTTTCAGTGCTCTCTTCAAAGTAGGACCAGCAACGTTCGAATAATAGAAATATGTTCCGAGACCCAAACGCCAAGTAATTTTGGTGCATTTGAGGGTGTACTACGTAGGGCATGCGACGGTTGGGTACTACGTTATTCAAGTTAGTAGTAAGGTGTTTGCAAAGGCTTGGCGGATGCTATGGAGCTGCTGCTAGTAGTCCACTGATGCATCCAAAACAACGATCTTGATATTTATGATGCTGTTATCAAACTGTACTATATCCTGTCGTAAGTCATTAATATAAACATTGGGGTTTTTTAAATACTACCATGCCCACCACTAGATTCTCAATATGAATTCAGGTACATTTCAAGCGTATTCAGAGTGCATTTGGAGTGCGTTCAGAGTACATCCGAAGTGCGTTTGGAACACGCTCTGAATATGCTCTGAGTCTCTGAACGCACTTGATATAGCGCTGGCGTATTCCTTAAATAGGCAAATGTTTCAGATGAATTCAATAACTTAAATGATGCTTGAGTATGATTCAAATGTATTCTGTTCACGGTGACTACGCACGAAGTCTGCACTCGACGACTCGATCGAAATGAGGATACCGTCATCTTTGATTGATGACCAGCAACGTTTCAAAGTTTCCCCACCAACGGCGTCAATGATGATGTCGTACTGGTTCTTGACATGGTAAAGGTCTGCGACTTTACACTGTAGGTTCGAGTCCACAGCGTCAACTTCGAGTGTAGAACTAATGATATATTGGCGCGTTTTACACTAGAAAGGTCGGTGGTGAAGTCGAGTGCGCACTTGACGCGAAGATGAAGATGCAGGGACCATGTGTCTTCAGGAGAGATCACTGAGTTAGAAGCCAAGCCCATCACTGCTCGAGTACCATACCGGGCAAATTCCATGTTCAGCAGTGAATGTGAGGTCACTTTCTTGGCTTCGACCGAGTTCATCTAACTCAGTATGGTATGTGTGCACACATAACCCCGTTCAAAGGTCAGTTGACATATTTAATGCAGTGTATCCGTCAAATCAAATAAAACAAATCTCGACGCCCATCCGATTCGCCCACCCAGTCCAGAGGTTGACTTGATTTGATTTGACTCTTTTTGTCAAATAAAGTCAAATGCTAGTAAGCAATATTTTGTCGAGAGGACTGCCTTTTCGTAAATTCATCTCACAAAGAGAGTCTGCCAAGACATTTTTCCCCCACATTGAAGTTTTGAACCACCTTTCCGCCAAGACTTCCATTTGACTACTAGGAATTTGTCAAATTTCAAAGTCTTGATTTGATTTGACGAAAGCACAGATTTGGGTTATTTGCCACAGCATTTGATTCGGGTTGTTTGACTCTATTTGATTAAAATGGACACACTGATCCGATGGACTCTTCAAATTTCAAGTCATTAATTTTTTTGTACCTCCTATGTGCAGCACCGCAATCTTTCTTTCTATAGGTTTCACAATGATACAGCAAATCATCCTCCCTCACATCGCAAATCGACTTCTACTCCTTGATCTCCCCCACTCCTTCAACGGCAAACTCAATCATCAAGTCGTCTTCCAATCATTAAAGCTTGTCAAAATATTGGTTGATACTCTGCCCTCGCCTTCCTCGCTGCCGGCACCAACGTCACCAGCGTCACACGGCGCCAGCAAGATCCCGACTTTATTGTTACCGACCTTAAAGAAACATGGCACGCCCGCTCACGCCATCGCAGCCGACGCCGCCGACTCTCCCACTGCAGCCAAGATCCTCGGCAAATCGAGACCACTTGGACGGAGGACATGTTGATATCCTCCTCAACACCGCATGAGTGACGTGCTACATTTTCTTCGAGGGCGGGAATTCATCGACGATTGGTGGCAACTGGCGGAAGCAATGTCCGGGGCTGCATCCCCATCATCTGTGTGATCCTTCTTTCCAAGATCGCCCATGGAGCCGCCACCGAAGTGAGGGCAAAGAAGGCGACCGTCATCCCCGTTTCCAGCACCTCGGGCAGCCTGGATTGATGAATTGTGACATGGTTTCCATCGAAAAGAGTGCAGTAGGTATGAGGCGCCGCCAACTGATATAGGATCCAATGACGTAAGAAGCACGTCGCGTCGGATTGTAAGCGTGTATTAGCCTACTAGTGGCTTGAATGATGACATCCTGAGGTATAGGAGTAGCCGTTCCGACCAGTCGTTCGTCTTCATCTAGCGGTATTTCCTGACGGAGAGCCTTTTCATGCTCTTACGATGCATGGTCCAGCATATTGTTACTAGTATCTAACGACTGTAAGATAGACAGATCAAGAGCCTCTCACCTCTCCATCCCATCTCACAAGCACGCAGCTCGGCAAGTGGTTCCAGAGCCTAGGTTGTCATGGCTGTGATTCCATGCAGCGTGTCGGGGCTGGAGGATATGATTGCATTCTAATATCCAGACATACAGGCTTCGAGTGAGGCTCGGCGTCCCTAATCCCAAGTAACCGTGTCATTGGGCAGATTTCAAAATTAGTAGATTTGCAGGGTGAGCTGCTAAGTCCTATTGTGCCAACGGAAGATACTATGCAGGCGAAAGTCAGAAGAGCCACAGGCATATATAATATGTGCTCTTTCTGTGGTATATTGAAAACTAGGTCTTCCCATCCCCAGACTTAACCTCTACCTTAAATTCGCATGGCGATTAGATCTCATGCCAAGTCCTATACAAATATGTTTATGATGCTGAGCACACTTAGCTCGTTAAGGCTAGGGCTGGATATGCACGACCAATTCCTATGGACATGAGGACAGGATGTCTTGTGATGAAATGGGTGACACTGACAACTGTCCATCATGGGTATTATACTATAAGAAATAATAATCCCAAGAAACTCAACATTGTTGACAAGGATTCGTGACCAAAGAAGGCTCAAGAGTGAAGACATGACACATGGAGAAGAGTTGTACTACGGTAAGGGGCATAAGTATTCGTAGCACGGCGTTAGTAGCAGCTACTAGTTCGGATCCAGCGCCACATCAATGTCTAGAAGCTCCTTTAACGGTTATGCACATCGATTGGTCACACCAGTACCGTCTAACAGCTCAAGGCCTCTTAGGTGTCAAGTTTGGAACCTGTTTTGGTGCAAATATACCAGCGCTGTGCGAACGAATACTTCAGCCGGGTACCGTAGCACATGAGCGGTTTTTTGTGCTCCCCTACCTTTTCCCCACTGTTTTGTACTCTGGGGTAGGAGGATCGGCGTTTAGCGTTGGACAACGGTTTGACGCCATGCCGTGCTTATGTACGTAGTGGTGATCTGGAGCTTAAATCTCCGAACGTTGTGGAGTAACATATAGTACGTAGTATGTATCCCGCGGCACGTCCCGCATGAAGGAGCGGAAAATTAGGAGAGCGGACCCGTGAGAAGATCCGAAAGTCCCGAAGCCGAATCCATTATTCTTGCGGGCTGTCCACATTGTGGCGCGCCGGGGCTTTAGTAGAGTGGACACGTTGTACAAACAAGGGAATTTCAAGAATTGTTGTTGAAAGCTGGGGTGGAGATTATGATTACCTCATTCGGCAATTGGCAAAATCTGGGGTAAGAATGGCAGCACGCGATGTGGCAAGCTCTAGTACCCCGTGTTGGCTGGGGGTAGGAAGAAATATCATGAATCATGACATGCGATTTCCGGCTATTCGGTGTTTCAGTGCATGAGGAATACAGCATAGGAACCCCTGGCTGCAGCTGCACGCCCGAGAATTTTCAACATTCAGAGCATGGAAAGAGATACTACGTATGTCGTCTCACAATCCTGCCTCGGAACCGATGACGAAGGCATGAAATCAAGTACTTGGATCTCGGAATTGCTACACTACTTTCAGTCATGGAAGAGAGAAATACCCCTTTCTACGTCCCGATTCAATTTTCGAGCATGCAGTGGCGTTGGATTGCGTGCTCCCCACAATATGCTAGCTATAACGAGAAGTCAAAGTCCCTGACTTGTATATACGATATCATAGTTAGTAATTCCCCAAGTATGGAGTGTAAAGAGAGGGAGAGGGCTCCAGGCTGATGACGGCTAGCGTTGTGAATCAAATTCACCCAGGAAATGCTGTTGACGCCGAATTCTCCAAAACGTTGCCCACAATGCATAACCAAGTACCACGATCCAAAGCTCCCCCGACATCGACAATTCTAGCAGATTCCCAAGAGAAAGAGGAGCACAAGAAAAGAAATACAAAGCGCGGTTCTTTAGCTCGCAGCTGGCTTAACGCCGACGTTGAAGACTCCATTTTCCTCGACCTGGAACTCCTCGTCCTTACCTTCTCCATCGGCATGCAGGACGTCGCCACCTTTCTCGACTATCGATGCTTCGCCAGCAACCAAACGGGTAACTCAGTCCTCCTCGCCGCCGGCATCATTGGTCTTGGCGACGAACTCTTCGAAGTCGGCAATGTCGGCACCTCACTCGCCGCCTTCGTCGCGGGCGGGTTCTGCGCTGGCCAGACCGGCAATTTCCTGCTCGACGGCGGCGTCTTAAGGAAGAGATGGTGGCTTGTCTTCTCGTCTGTCGTGCAGACAGCAATGGTATTTGGCGCCTGGGCGCTGCAGTACCGCCAGCCCATACACGCTGACGGTGTAGCCATGACGGTCATTGCGTTGTTGGCATTTTCTTCGGGCGCGCAGGTGGCCATGGCTCGCGGGTTGAGGGTCACGGAGATCACGACGGCAATGGCGACAGCGGCTTGGGTGGACATTATTGTTGATCCCGAGTTGTGGACGCGGAAGAACAGAGGGAGAAATAGGAGAATGGCGTTTCTTATCTCGCTCATTTCAGGAGCATTTGTGGGAGCCTGGGCTTATCGCAGCATGGGTAGTGCCTTTGTTTTATTAGTCAGTGCTATTGGCAAGATCATCGTTACTGCGGCATTGTTAATCAACGATGTCCTGGTCATAACCTGCGAGGACGATTTGGATAGCGAGGCTTGTGGCGAAGAAGTTTGAAGAATGTGATAGAGCAATAAAAATGAAATAGAAGATGAGGATCGTTAGCATACGTGGATAGACACGTATACCAATAAAAGGGCACTGTATGAACTATAGCAGAGGTTATTCCGAGTGACGCCGATCTACAGTGGGATGTGTATCCCGCCTAGGTCTCATGCTCGTAGATGTATAACAATTAAAACCATTGTTAGTCGCAGCTATCTTTCATACATAGCCCATGCAGAAACAGCAAGAGGCAAGATGCAAGATGCAAGATGCAAGATGCATGCGTTTTGTGATTTCGCAAACTTAAGGGTCCATGTGCGACGTGATAGAGGATGTTGAAGGTGGGGAGTTTAGGCAGGGTACCCATCAAATCAAACAAAGCAAATCGAGATGGCCCTGTTCTCTCTCAAAAATACGCAAGGCGCGCAATAAGTTGCAGGAAAATTAGCTGTGAGATTACAGCAGAAATGACCTATCAAAAGCAGGTAAAACGCAGGGGTAAATAGCGTCTGATCAACTTGAATTCTCGTTCAGATCGAGTGTCCGCCAAAACTATTATTAGTCCCTTGAAATTATCCTTGAATATTTCAAAACAAGGGACTTTTCTGTCGAGGTTTAAATTTGACTACTACTAATCTGTCAAATCCACGGAGGCTGATTTGCTTTGACGAAAGCGCTGAATTGATTTAATTTGCCAAGCATCTGATTTGATATGATGGAGACACTGAAATTTACTAAGTCCCCCACCCGGCTAATGAGACACCCCTGGTAATGAGACACCCCACTCAATCGGCATACCCACCACATTCAACGCGCATTATCTCCACCAACTGGTCAGATATGGACTCCCCATTCGAAACTCGCATTGCTGAGGCCCTAACTGAGCTATCTACTGATCCAAACGCGTCATTACGCGCAGTAGCCAAGAAATTTAGCCTATCTGCAGAAACCCTCCGCCGCCGCCAAAATGGAGGCATTGGGAAGCAAATAGCTCGCAATTCACAGCAGCTATTGAGTCCTGAACAGGAGCAAGAGTTGGTACAATGGATACTCCATTTAGAAATGGAAGGGCATGCCCCTACCCACAATACCGTACGAGCAATGGCCTCTCGTATTTCGCAAGAATCTGGCGCCTCTGGACGCATAGGGCATCATTGGCTACAGCGCTTTTTGACGCGTCAACCAGCTATTCGGTCCAAACTGGGTAGGAAGATAGAGGTCCTACGAATCGAAAACACGAAAGCAGATAGCTTAAGGACCTTTTTTGAGCTATTCCGACGCGTACGCAAAGAATACAAGGTTGCAGATGAAGATATCTGGAATATGGATGAAACTGGACTGGCCCTGGGCAGCTCTGCCCATCAACAAGTACTAGGTCGTTCTGCTACCTCTCGTACATACAAAAAGAGCCCTGAAAACCGCGAATGGGTATCTACTGTTGAGACAATATCTGCTGCAGGAAGATCAATTCCATGCCTTGTGATTTTCAAGGGCAAAAACATACAGAGTTCGTGGTTTGAGGCTTATTCTGTTCCTGATTGGCATTATACTACATCAGAAAGAGGCTGGACCTCTAATGATATAAGCAAGAGATGGTTACAACAGATTTTCATCGCTTCGTCAAATACTACAACCAAGCAAGGCAGGATGCTCTAAAAGAGATCTATATCAGAGCAGGCTGGTGAGGAACTGGTTTGATACCTTGGAATCCACAAAAGGTACTAAAATCCAGTCAAATCTCACAGGATTCTTGTACGCCAAAGACACCCAAAAAGCGTCCACATAGCGCTATTGATGATACTTTAGAGGTACTCAAGACCCCGGAGAATCGACGCCAGCTTGTTTTAAGTCAAAATAGACTATTACAGACGCAGAAATGCTCTCAGAAAGTGCGCATTTTGTTTGAAAAAACAGCTAAGGCTTTTGATCAATTTCATGTGGCTAATGTACGCAATCTGGACCTAATAAACGCACAGGCCACTAAATTAGATGAGATCAATACAAAGAAGCAAAAAGTAGCTGTTACAGATAGCAATGAGATGTTTGCCAACATTGAGAGCATTATGGCAGCGCAGGAGGAGCAGGCCAGGCGTCAGAAGCTGACAGAGGCCCGGGATTTGGCTGCAGAGGCCCGTAAAACGGCTAATAAGGTGATCAATATGACAATTGATCAGATGACCACTGTATTTAGTCAATTTGAAGCAGTAGAATAGCAAGGATAGCTATAATGTGGTGGGTATGCGAATTGAGTGGGGTGTCTCATTACCAGGGGTGTCTCATTAGCCGGGTGGGGGACTTACTGTTTAGGGCGATTTTTGAGAGATTGGGTTATCGAGTCCTTGCAATTGGATGCCACGACACTTGTGGCATCGTGGCGTTATTGCTCGAGGAGGAGGAGGAGGAGGGGGAGGAGATAGTGATTGAGCGAACTTTCAACTCACGAAATGTGCCATGTACTAGTAGTAATTTAGGGTACTGGAGGATAACTACGCAGGCGAAGAAAGGTGACCGTCAGTCGTAATGAGAAGAGGGGAGCAAAAGAAATCAGTACGTGCAGGAAGAGTAGTATATCATTTCGGGGTTGATCATTGTGACAAAAGATTCCAAATGAAAAAAGCGATCGGAGCCCTAGGAACTGGCACTACCGCATGATCTAGTGAAGCAATTTGATTCAGAAAGCTAAATTAATACGTGAGATGGGGGATTCCGAAAGAAATAGATAGGTCACCACGTGAACCAGGCGCACATATTAAACCCCAGGGGAGGTGCTACACATGGTGAGCAGAGAATACCGCAGGCAGAGACGAGATTCCTCCGCCTGCCGAAGCGATTGGTGAAGCTGCCTGTAGCTGCCTTGCCTTCTTCTCCTCACTCCTCAGGAATTGCAGAAGATCCAGATGTCCACTTCGCGCAGCCCAATCTGCCGCTGTCTCGCCGAAATTGTCCACCACCCATACACTTACACCGTAATCCTGCACCAGCAGCCTAACCACATCCAGGTTCTTCTGATGAGCCGCTACATGGATAGCTCCCATGCCGCGTTGGTTCTTGGCCGTCTTATCTGCCCCTGCCTCAAGAAGTGCTTTTACCACCAAGATGTTCCTGGATGAGCAGGCTTTGTGGAGGGGGGTTTGCGCGGTGTCTGTTAATGCCGCCACGTTGGCGCCGCGGGCGAGGCAGAGCTGGGTAAGCGCAAGGTGTCCAATAGAAGCTGCAATGTGAAGAGGCGTCCAGTTATGATACCCAGTAGAGTTGATATCCGCGCCGTGACTCAGTAACAGGTTGACCATGTCAGGTTGTTCTTCTTGTATAGCGAGATGTAAAGCTGGTTGGCGACCATCGATGAGTGCATCGATCTCACAAGACCTCTCGGCAAGTAGACGCCGAAGCTTTTCCATCTTGCCACTCTCAATAGCAGCTGCGATCTTGTCACAAATGGTAAGAGGATGCTCCTGATTCTGCACTTCTGCTCTGCGGAGTAGCTTATGGACGCCAAAATGAGAGGTGAAGAAGGCGACGTCGCGGGGGGTGGAACCTTTGCGCTCCTTTTTGCACAACTGCTCCTTCTTCAAACCAGATTTGTCGTTCAGAAGTAATTCTACGGCTCGAATGCTGCCACTTCTGGCCGCTGCATGCAGTGGAATCTCGCCTTTGTGATCTTCAGCCAAAACGTCGGCACCTCTCTCAAGCAGCAAGGCGACAAGGTTTTCGTGCCCACCACGAGCAGCTCGGTGTAAGACGGTCCATTTATCCATGCCGCGATGTTCAACCCGAGCACCGTTGTCAAGAAGCATCCTTGCCACCTCAAGATGGCCGCTTGTGACTGCGTAGTCCAGGGGCGTCAAACCGTCACAAGCCTGCGAGTGTACTTCCGCCCTAGACATAACAAGGAGACGGACAATCTCGAGGTAAGTATCCTTTCCTTGCGGCAAGGTGCAGAGGTCGCATTCGCTTTTCATCCTCAGAATCGACCATGGCGCCACTTCGCAAGAGCAGAGTGACCATTTCTTCGTTTCCAATGTCAACTGCTTTATGTAGAGCGGTCCACCCATCTCTTGCTCTAATATCAAGTTGGACGCTACTCTGCTGTTGAAGCAATAGTCGGGCCATCGAAACTTGTCCATTTCCTACTGCGAGATACATGGGTGTACTCTTACCAATGTTGAGATCCAGAACGTCGGCACCGTACTCAAGCAGCAACTTTGCGGTACTTTCATAGCCCCCCAATGCAGCCTCGTGGAGAGGGGTGCTCCCGTACATGTTCCGAGCCTTCAGCATTGGTTGTCTGTTCTCACAAATGAGGAATCTCACGAAATCAGTAAGTCCGAAACTGGCACAGGTGGAGATGCCTGCCCCATCGGACTCGCTATATGCCCATACAGACATACGCTGGTGCCATTTTCGAAAATAGGGTGATCTGTGGTCGCGGACCCGAGCGGCACTCATGAGATGGGGACTACTTCTTAAAAATGGTAGAGCCACATCTTTCACATCCTGAGGAGCCACATTAGTAGCATGGAAGCCCCATTCTGTTGCAGCATAGTCCAAAAAGGCAAGGTCACCGAGACTTTCGAGGAACTTTTTTCGATTTTGAATATGTAGACCCTTCACCGAGTCCAGCGATAAGTATTTTAGACAGACCTTGGTGACCTCCTCATCACCATTCTTGAACAACCCATGATCATGGGATCTGAGATATTCTTCTAGACTGTAGTGAACAAAGCGAATGCTCAAGCTTTCCTGGTCAATCTCCACTAATCCAAAGCAGCAATCAATGACAGCTTGTGGATGGATGAAGTTCTCCCTGTCAAGATCGCTGTCATGTAGTCGTACCGCAAGGACATGTTGTAGCTCCGTCACCGTGAGGACTCGTTTGGCATGCGAAATCCACATCAGTGTTCTCGCAGCGACATTCCGTTGAGTCATGCCGCGACGTGAATCTGCCGGAAGACTTAGGATACGTTCGATGGTAGCTTTGAAAACTTCTGGTAAGTTAGTAGATCGCTCACGAAGCGCACGGCGTACTTCAGATTTCGTGAGCTGTGCCAAAATATCTCGAATCTGGAGAACTGGCAAAAGGCACCTGAATGCAGATCATGAGTTCCTCGCCCGGAAGGGAAGAGGCATACATACATCCCGTGAGCGGTTGTGCTCAGCGTCACCATAATATCCTCCTTCAGCCTCTCATCTAAGATGCGGTTGGGATCTTGATGATCGGCTATTGCCTTCTCTATGATAGCTCTCAAGTCTTCTTTGTTCGCACTGACAGTCATTCTCGTAGCCTCTTGGAACGATACTTGAATGGGAGATCCATGCTTTCGGCTTGTGGCGAAAATTTTGGGGGTACCCCCAGTTATACTGCGCCGCAAAACATCCAGCAATTCAAGCAAGCCGCGAAGATGAGAACTTGCTTCCGCTTCGTCAAGCGCATCAACAACGAAAAAACACTTCGCAAACTTTGATGCTACTTTGCAAAGTATTTCTTGCAATTCAACATACCATGACTGATCTTGAGTCTCATTGTGTGTTCGTCGGTAGAACTCGGAGACCACTGGGGGAAGCACATGGTATTGCATCGACAGCTGGCGTAACATATTTCGGGCACAATTTACTGGAGTTTGAGCTTGTTGCTCTCGATAGTCACAGTACAAATATACAACGGCGATATCTTTGTGTTTCCGAAGGTCCAGCAATTTATCGACTACCAGAGATCTGAAATGAGGTTAGCCTCTTTCTCAGAAGCCAGATTCCTCTTCTTTTATCAACCAAAAGGCTGCCGTACCAGCGATGGGACAGTGGATTGGGCAATACCTTGGTGCCATGGCACAACGTGGGAGGTGGCGGCCGGCAGAGAAGTACCCCCATTAAAAATAACAAAGCTCAAGGTCCGATAACAGAACTGTATTGTACAAGTACAGGATCAAAAAGCATCGCGAAAAGAATGCAACTTTGACTCACGCTAGATTCGTCTTCCCAACCCCAGGGTCCCCCAAGCACAGCACCTCATAGCTGTCAGAGTCATACGACAGCCAACTGACGATTTCTTGCATGTTTAAGAACCATGCACCTGTTCCAGGCGCCCTTCGGGCTTTAATATCGTCGTGTTTTTGGAGGGCCGCCGAAGGGCAAAGCCAGTCAAGTACCTCTGTCATTCTTCGTTCTAACACAGCTCAATTGTCAGTAATCATGTGGGCAATAGGTTCTCCGAATGTCCAAACTTTGCAGCGTCTGGGTAAAGAGTTTGACCTTTTTAGATTTCTTGCAACAATTCCAAACCTCAGGAATGTGCATTTCTCTCCCTTGAGATCTAACGCAAGGGGCCGTTTGTCTCAATCTTGCACATTCCCAGGCAGGCTAGTTCGCTTTTCGTAACGAGAACTCGAAATGTAAGCAGCTTACCATGTTCTCTCTGTTCGACTCCCTTCCGAGCTTCCTTCGTGTCTGAAGACGCACCCTGCAATAACGTTGGCAGAAGCTTCAGCAGCGCCTCCGTCTGCTGTAGTGTGTTCTTCGCATCGTTCGCAACCGTGGCCATGTGTGGAAGACCTGCCGATAGCTTTTCCACCTGTTTGCAGTTGTCACGTTGTAAGTTCAAGCCTTCATAAGCTGCGTCAGAGGTCTTGGACAAGAGCTCGCAATTCTCCACAACCAAGGACAGCTGGAAGAGCTCAGTGTACCTGTGCAAATCGTCCACCATAGCTTTTATATCTTTCTGTTCAAATGGCCAATGAAGCTTTGCCATGGCTCTCTTGAATCTATGGACCGGTTCTCTCAGTTTCTCCTGGATCTGCTCAATGATTTTGGTACAGTCCAGGACAGCTTTTCCAAGAATAGTTTTGTGATCCGCATTGTCTGCACTTCGAAGTCTACCGCTATGCTTTTGCTTATGAATCAGACTTTTGAGTTGGTCCAGCACCTGCGTCATTAGAGAAAGCTCCTTGTGGAGGCTTTCGGCATGCTTCTTGTGCTCAGTTATGAGACCCGTAAATTCTCCCAGCATTTGAATCGTTTTGACAGCCACAGCGATCAGGCCAGCTATGCCTGTCGCTGCTGTGAAGGGATCCATTGTCTCTGCATTAAATAAATGTGAACTGGGGAGATTTTTTAATTTTGATCAACGAAGGTGTAGCCAGCCGAGTGTGGGTTGGAGAGCCACCAGAAGTCATGGCGGCTGCACGGTGTCAGTGCAGAAGTCTACGTCCAGCCAGTGGGTTCATTTGAAGCAAACTGAATCAAATAACCCAAATCAGGATTTTAAAATTTGACATTTTGGTCAAATGGAAGTCTTAGTAATAAAAGGGTCTTCTGGTCTGAAATATTTAGGGTCATTTTTGATGAAAAGATAAAGGTCTCGGCGGACTCTCCTTGTGAGATGAAAATCTTTGGTAGTCTGCGTGACTGAGGTGGTTTATTTGATTTGGTGGATACACTGGGCGTTCCAGCGCTACTGAGTAGCAGTCCAGTGTCTGTCAGAGGAGCACATCAGCTGTTAGACTATGGTAGAGGTGAAAGGTGTGTGCTCACGATGTCAGCTCCAGCTGGAGGGACCATTATCTCGATGTAACCCAATGCAAATACCTTGTATGCATGTCTCAAGCTATGTGGGGCGCCTGTTTGCCAAATTCGCCTGCGCTTTTGGTCAACATCCCGGGGCATTCCGGAGCGAATTTCGCTGACCGTACAGGCTAATATTATGTAAGCTAGCTAATCCTCGGCCTTGGCGTGGTCTTGATGTCGGGCGGCATGTTCTGGATCACTACTTCATTGCATGAATTGCGCTCACGGTCCAAGCGCGCTCTCCATAAATCAATGCACAACTGCAGGCTTCTGTATGTCTTCGATGATTCCGGTACATTCGCCGTCGACTTCTATGGTACGGCGTTGAGATATCATGTCTCGTTCTCCACAAGATACTCCTCTTACTCCAGCTACATACGACAATGATGCTACTTCTCTCACGCTTGCCCATGACCAGTCTTCGGACTCGGAAGAGGAGCGTCTTGCAGAGAAGTCACGAACTACACTCGAACTCAACGAATACGACGCTTCACTTCTCCGAGACGAAGATGAACGTGAAACCCTGTTGATCGAGAAAAGACCTTTGCATGGAATAAAAAACGTTCTCAAAAACCCTTCAGGCGACGCTGGTCTTAGCTTGAGCAGTAGAGAAGCCAAGAGCGAGAGAAGAAAGCAGCGGAGAGGCTCAACAACGGGTCGAAAGGGCGATAGGGCAGAAGAAGGCAAGCTCATGTTTCAGATGGAAGAAGGATTTAAGGATATCAGTTCCAGATCATCATCCTCGGACTCTCTGCATCTTGATCAAGAACTAAGGGGTAGGCTCAAGAAGCAGGTAAGCCAATCTTCAAATCTGCTAACGGCCAAGCTGACGTCGTCTGCAGCCTGGGCTATTTACATGGAGAAGGCATCTATCCGTGTCTCTGGTCATAGCGACCCTGTTTCTCGTTCTTGCTTTCGGTGCATTTAAAGCTTCTTCACAATTTCGGCATGCGCAATCGGTACCAAAATTGTCGAATGGGACTCACCTATTTGCGCCCACCACGATTCTCGTCTCCCTCGATGGCTTCCGCGCAGACTTCCTCAATAGAGGTCTTACTCCGGCTCTGAACTCCTTCATTGCTTCAGGTGTCTCACCCAGATACATGTTACCGTCCTTTCCCTCCGTGACCTTCCCCAACCATTTTACACTTGTCACGGGACTTTATCCAGAAAGCCACGGTGTTGTTGGTAACTCATTTTGGGACCCAGAATTATCAGAGGAATTCTTCTATACAGATCCTCTACGATCTTTGCAGCCCAAGTGGTGGACCGCTGAGCCATTGTGGGTCACTGCCGAGAACCAGGGAGTCCGGACTGCAGTTCACATGTGGCCAGGGTCGGAGGCCCATATTCCACCATTAGAGCCCACCTATCTTGACAAATTCAACAAGAACGAAGCTCTCACGACAAAGATAGAGCGTATTCTGGGACTTCTTGATCTGCCCGGGGATTTTGACAATTCAGAAGGAGTCTCCCCAGATCGAAGACCGCAGCTTATTGCGGCTTATGTTCCAAACGTGGACTCTGATGGACACAAATATGGTCCAAATAGTACCGAGATTCGAGTTACCATTTCTGACGTCGACAGCATGCTCGCGATTCTCATGGAGGGCTTGTATGATCGCAATCTGACCGAGATTGTCAATGTTGTTGTCCTATCCGATCATGGGATGGCAACCACGTCAAATACACGGCTCGTTCAGCTAGACGATCTTATCGACTTGTCGCTGGTAGATCACATCGATGGGTGGCCTCTTCGTGGCCTCCGACTTACGAACCCTTCACGGGACGTACCAATTCTGTATGAAAAACTCCTAAAAGAATCGGAGAGTTCGCAAGGCTTTGAAGTCTACACCCTTGACACAATGCCGGAACGATATCATTTTGCCAACAACAACCGGATTGCGCCTCTATGGATTATGCCGAAGACTGGCTGGGCTATAGTTGAGAGGAAAGAATTTGATGTCACAGAGGCGCAAGCTGCGGGTACCATCTATCATCCTATGGGTATACATGGATACGATCACGAGCATCCACTTATGAGAGCCATCTTTGTTGCCCGAGGACCTGCGTTTCCACATGCACCCAACAGCAGACTTCCCGTATTCCAGAACATTGAAGTCTACAATATAATATGTGATTCTCTGGGCATCAAGCCACATGCCAATAACGGCACCCTCCGCTTACCGTTAAGCACAGTAGGTCTTCATGACGATTCGGATGCTCCGGAGTTAGAGACACCACATGATCCCCCACAGGAAGCCCCGCCATTTAACGGAATAGAGCCAGGTCATATGGAAAGGCCGAACCAGGGACCTGCCCTCCGGCCAGGAGCGGAGAATGATACCACAGAAACAAATGAGGCCGAGGAAAAAGGAGATGCTGAGATGACCTGGTGGGACATTATGCATGACCGTATCGAGAAGGCCAAGGAATGGGCAAAGAAAATCATCGAGAAGTTGAAGGGCAATAGTGAAGATGGCTGACCAGGACTCGATTCCCTTCACGAAACAGTTCTTGAAAAATAGGACTGCTGGGCTAACTGCTTTACGTTATGGAGAGCGGATAGGATTGGCGAAATGCCGAAGACACAATTTGACCGACATATTGGTCAGCGCGAAGCATCAGATTTCAGCATAGCGCGAAATAGTCTACACTCCATTTTGCGGATGTTGTTAGCAATGCCTTTCACCATCTGCATGCTCGGTCACGCGCCCTCTTTACCTGTCTCAAGCGATGAAAGAAGTGGAATTTGCTGATCCATCATGAAGGAAGGAAGCGGGCATTGCTACGTCCAGTAACACTAACAGAGTTTTTTTTGGAAAACACCGTCAGCCCTAAGTTAGACGTTGGAATCCAGCCACTTATTCCTGTGTCATTCCACCACAATCACGAGCACTGTCACGGTGTTTTGGCAGGGAGCGCTGTAGCACTCGTCGAAGCAGCGACTGATCGCAACGGATCATAAGCACCGGTGATGTGTTTTTGGATATGTACACCGCCGTACTTATATTACATTGCCAACCTACCTCTGAGCGACAAGATGAGATGCTCAGCAGCATCGTCATACCCACCGGAGAGAAGCAAAACTACTTGGCCAAGGTCCCGGTCAGCTAAAGATTACGTGATGCAGCATAGACCACATCAGAATTACTGGTAAACAACTTCGGACGTTACTTTGATTTCAATAGCATTGGAAATGAGACTTGAGATAGCAAGTCCGAGGACTGGGGGAGAACACAAGTTATGCCAGGCAAGGAGTTGGGGTTAGAGTACTACTTAGTATTCGTCGGACCTTAGATTCTTCTCGACTCACCTCAATCGTGAATTTTGACGCTGATGAAAGCGATAGTCCAGGCAATACCAAGAGATGATAGGAATCACCAATTTCCATAGAGCGTATGCTAGGATCCCTTCCTAATAGGAGGCCAGGGTTGTACGTGAGGAGGCACGCGACAAAACTTCCGTCCCCAACCATCGATGACGTAATAGCAGTCGACGTAATATCAAAAGCGCATCGCTGCACTCTTTTCGAGCTACACGATCATACTCAAATCCTCTATAAAATAATTTTAGCTTCTTCTTCTTCTTAATACGTTGTCTACTCTTAACAAATCTCCTTGCATTGGTAGCAATATCATCGCTGCCCGCCGCTGCTTAGTCATGCACCCTTTCATCTCCCGAATCCTCTCCAACGTCCTCTACTACTCACCAACCTCGCGCATCCACTCCTGGCTCCTCTACTTCGGCATCCAGACCGCCCTGCCTGACTCCACGCAGGAGTTCGCCCCCTTGCGGAATATCTGCGAGTATCTGAATGCGCTGCACATCTATGCTGATGAGGCGAAGAGGGGCGTCGTGAGGCATGTGGAGGCGAATCATTTTTGCTCGCATTTGAGTAAAGGTGTGTTGGTCACAGTAATTCACTTTTGAGAAATTTGCGAACCGTAGGAAGTACGCTGATTGATCGTATCTTATGGTGTTAGACGTACGCCAATGTCTGCTCTACGACTCCGCCGCCAAGAACGCCCGCCTTATCGGGGTGGAGTACATGGTCACGAAGGAAATATACGAGACTCTTGATCCGGAAGAACAAAAACTTTGGCATTCGCATGAGGTAGGCTGATGCTCTCCCGTTGTTGCCTCTGCGACCCATTGCCTCTAACCCTTCACTCCTACAATCTGTAGTTCGAAGTCAAATCCGGCATGCTCGTCCTTCCCATGCCAGCCTCCCATGCCTCCGGCCCCTCGGAATGGGAAAAGCTTGAAACCGAAGCCATGCGTCAAGTTATCGGCCTCTACGGCAAGACCTGGCATTTTTGGCAAATTGACCGTGGCGATACATTGCCGTTGGGCTATCCGCGATTGATGGGCAGCCTAACCGAGCCGGGCCAGCTCAATCTTGAAGAGGTGTTGAAGGAGAGGAATGAGAGACATGGGGTAGATATGGAGAGAAAGCGGAGGCTGAGGGAGGGAATTCAGGAGCCGGGGGTCAGTGGGAATGCGGATTCATGGTGGAAGGGGATCGGGCCGCCGAGCCAGGATAGTTGGTCTTGATTCAAAGTTGACCGAGCGTGTGAACCTAACGTAGTACTGAGTAGTAGCTCTGGGATTGTGGTGCGCCGAGTCCAACTAGGCCGGGGACTAGTACTTGGTGCCATAAGTCTTTCTCGACTCTATTGTTGGTTTCGGCTCGCATATATCAGCCTAAGAGGTATGACCCGTGACGGCATTCCCAGTTTCACACCATTCTGCTTTGTCATGAAGAGCAGATCAGGTTTGTGCGACTGTAGCTCTGTGTTCCCCATGGGTTCATCATTCCCGAGGAGGACACTAAAATGATTCAGGCTTCGTGAATGTGGAACGTCGTTGACAAATACTCCTGTAAACGGGATGCGGAATCGAGTCTCGGTCTATTACTAGTATCTTCATGGCTTGCTAGACGGTTTGATCGTGTTCTCAACTATGTCGGATCTCTTCGTTAGGGTTGGCAACTCCTGCCATTCATTCGTATCATGCCTCAACATTTCAGGCGCCACACCCTTCTCATCTGCTGGCTTCCCACACGCCTCCAGTGATGTATTTCTCAGTTGAGTCAAGGGTACAGTCCAGTGTATCTGTCAAATCAAATAAGCTAAATCACGACCCTCATCTGATTTGCTTACTAGTATCTAACCCCAGAGGTCGATTGGATTTGATTAGGTTGTCAAATGGGTCAAAAGTTAGTAAGCAATATTTTATTAAGAGGACTGTCAAGTTTTTTATCGCAGGACGGGAGTCCGCCAAGAGTTTTCTAATTTCATCAAAATTAACCCTGGATACTTCCACTTGACTAATTTGTCAAATTTCGAAGTCTTGATTTGGTTTACTTGCCAAGCATTTGGTCTGCTATAGCTTGGTTGGGCTCCGGCAGCCGCCTAATCTTCCCTCCCTCCAGCCCCACTACTGGCCGGCTTGCGATCCAGCTTTTCCACCGGGCCCAGTCACAGTTCGAATTTCGCTGAATGTTCAGCTACATAACAGTAGGCCTTCACGATGACGTTCATCCGTTTGGCCGACAATTACGCCCCTAGCAAAATGAAATAAACGACCACGTGATTTGACAAGCATTAGGTCAAACGTCGTTGATGAATGTTTTTGGACAAGCTTGCGACTTTATCTCCCACCTCTTATGTATCCCTTTTGTCTAGTCAGTGCATCGTAGAGAAGTCTTGGTCTTTGGAGACTCTGTCACACCTCGGCTTTTCTTTTCTCTTTTGGAACTGTCAACTTCGCAGATGGGTGTGCTCGGTTCCGATCAAAGAATCAAATATTACTTGATCCCGCCAGGGACCAAGTCGATATGAGTCTTAAACACAATCTTCACTTATCTTTTTCTGTTCTCAGCATTGACCACTATCTAGACGACGGAGCTACAGTGTTACCCTGCAATTCCTCTCACTTATATTATCTCTACAAATTCGATGTCGATTGCTTAGTACATCATAGAACACCTCTGCAATGGCTGTTCTTCACGATACCAATACCAGACCAGACGCAGATGCATACAGCAACCCTAACAAAGAGGTCTCAGAATCACCGGAAGAGGACTTCGACAAGCCGTCAGAGGTGGAAAAACGCATCAGACGTAAGGTAGACCTACGACTTTGCACGATTGCTGGTCTGCTATGCAGCCTTAATCTCCTTGACAGCGGTATCATCTCATCGGCAGCAGTGACATCAATGCCGCAAGACCTTGGACTGACCGGTGACCGCTTCTCCGTGTCTATCTTCATTTTCACCGTCAGTAGCATAATATTCCAACTTCCTTCGACAATACTCGTCCGCATTGTTGGACCACGTCCATTTTTTGCAACGGCCACAGTTTGCTTTGGTCTTATCACTTTCTGCACTGCATTCATAAGAACATGGCGCCAGATGATAGCGCTCCGAGTGCTCCTTGGAATTGCGATGAGCGGTATATATCCTGGGCTGACCTACCTCATATCAACATGGTACACTCGCAGTGAGCAGCAGCTTCGCTTTGCTTTCCTGCAATGCGGCCAGGTCCTCGTGCTCGCCACAGGTTCTATTGTGAACTTTGGTCTCAACCGACTGGATGGTCACACCAAATTTCGAGGTTGGCAGTGGATGTTTATGGTCCAGGGCGCTATTACAATATTCTTCGGGATCCTAACGTACTTCTGGATTGTGGATTTTCCGGAGCAGAGCCTGAATAGTCTCTTCTTCCTCACCCCAGAGGAGGCATCTCAAGCAGTATTGCGCATCCAACGGGATCGAAAGGATGCAGAAGCCCCAGAACCACTGCGTTTCCGCAGTATACTGGTCCATTTCTTGGATCCGAAAATCTACGCTTTTTGTGCACTCTTCTTCTCCATGAATATTGTATCAACCGCCTTGTCCTACTTCCTTCCTACTATACTGCAGAGCGGCATGGGCTTCTCCACCGATAAAGCAATTTTGCTATCAGCACCTCCTTATTACTATTCAGTGATACCTGTGCTATTTTCATCCCTGGTGGGTGACCGATATCGATTGCGAGGCCCAATCATAATCTTCAATTCTTTATGCCTCATTGTTGGCTTCTCTATGCTCGGCTTCCCGTCCCAAGTGACCGTTCGATATGTTGGAACGTACCTGGCGACAGGAGCATATATTTCCAACTGGGCAGCGCTTAACGCGTATCAAGCAAACAACATTACCGGTCAATGGAAGAGAGCTACCGTCGCAGCTGCTGTTGCTGCTTGCAACGGCTTAGGCTGTATTGCTGGCAGCTATATCGTACGGAGCACTGAAGCTCCAAGTTATATAACTGCGATCTGGGTTAGTATCGGATCCCATATACTGATCATCTTGATCGTCTCGACTTGTACGATTATATTTTGGCGTGCGAATGAAAAACAAAAAAGATTCGGCAAGATCATAGAGGGTGTAGTCGGCTTCCGCTACACATATTAAGGTTTTTGAGTGGGTATGAACATCATTAGGGCCTATACCGTTGGATAGGCTGAAACTTGACAATTATCTCAATGATGCTCTGGAAAATCAAATATGGTCGTGGATTTCGTACAGTGACCACGAATCACACGCATAACCTGCATTCGAACAATTTTGAATAAGCAGAAAATTCATTGCTGTGCGACGAACAGTAAAGGGTATCTCTGCGTGTTTGAAAACAAATGCCACGCTATACCACTGTGGAACAGTGTGATATGATATGCTGGACGTATGATGCTTACTAGGAGTCTAGGATTGATCCTGCAGAAGATGAAATATATACACAGAATGTAGTGCCAAGTGCCAAGGCCTCACACCGCTTCATCTGAGTTCTAACCTAGAGGGCTCCGTTACCTATACAATCCAGGCTACCATGACCGTCCACTTTCAGCTCTTGTGGGTGCAAAGAAGTCTGCTGCTCTCAGGAATCCGTTGCTCCCAGGAAACCTCTGAGACCATCAAAATTGGATGCCTAAGACATCATCTAGTAATGAAGCCGAAACTGGCGCAGGCCAACGTCGTTCAGCGTTCTCAGGAAAACGGGAGCAAAGGTGCCAGAACGGGAGCAAGGGGTCAGACACGGTGCAGCCGAAAATCATAGCCATCTGCTGAGTCAGCACGAAACCTCCTCATCGTCGGTAGAAGAGCGGTGTCCAATCAAAGCGATCCCAAGCGACCAACACGTTTTATCCGTTAAGGCTGCCGCGACTGGCTCTCGAAAATGAGAGTTCCTCGTGCTTGGGGCATGTTTGCTACATAGGTTTCATGGCAGCTCAGATTAACCGGACTGGAAGGCGGCGCGTATTGCCACCTGTGTTCTCGGTCCAATTCCAGTTCGACTGTCTGACATCGATTTGCAGGTCACTGGTCTGTATGGACGCGCTTATCATAGACCCTGGCACATTGCAGAAAGCTCTTCGTGATAGGACGACGACGACGCCGCCGCCTAACACCGCGGTACGCCGAAAGTCTGTCGAGGGTAGCATAGCCGCGGAGTCATGCTGCATTTGTCCGGAAGGCTGGAACATTGGGGAAGAAATGGTGGCGCTACAGTGTGAATGCATCCACTGATTAGCGGCAGTGTGAGGTGCACACTACGTCCTTCCGCTCCCCCACCCCCTTTTATTGGCACTACGGCTACGTGGCGGCTCTAGGGCGTTCCCCGGCTGATCGTTGGCGCGACTGCTTCTCGCAGTGACGACAACTGCAAGAAAGACCTGGGCGGCGAGTTCTTCCCCTTCAACTTCTTCCATTTCACGCCGCAGTCCGACAACAAGGCGAACTCCGTGAAGTGCTGGCGCGCTTGAGCGGGGGGGCTGCTAAGGGTGAGGGGTGGTACAGAGGGGAGGCGAAGGCGCGGTGGAGCTGCTGGGGGCCGAGGTGGCTGGATTCTCCCTGGCGACACTTCTCTGGCCGCGGAGCCAAGCTAGAGTACGCTCACTTGAATCCATGACGGTTTTGTCCGGTTGCTGTTGCAACTGCATGTACCAACTGTACGCTGAAGAGACTGGATCGCTATAACACTTCTACTGGTAGCTTCACTTCTGCAGGCTTGGGGCGATCTTGATGCATCCGGTCAAGCTCATCTCAGATCTTTCTATAATCAGGATACAGCTTTCAGAGACAACTAAAAGGGCTCACGCCCAGCTTATACCAGGGCTTCAAGCAGAAAGTCTCAAGTCGGACTCGAGGGAGAGTCTACGGTTGGTGAGCAGGATGATTTGAGTAAGAGCCGCTGCAGTAACAGAGACGGGCATCTTAATCTATCCTGGACTCAAATCCTTGAATTCCTGACACGGTTTTACGCACGCGTTATGGCTTCTGCACAATGCTTCTGTGAGAAGAGCACCAATCTGGAAGGAGCTTGCTCTGGTGCTACTAGTAGTGGTGCTCGCACCATCGGAATTGACATGCATAATGAATTGACTGTTTGGTCTGAGATGTTCTAAATGTGTACACTGGTGGGCTTGCCAATTGTACATGAGACTTAGAAAGGAAACGGCTTCAATACCAGTGTTTAGTCCTGATAACAAACCACTGGATTTCAACAGGGTTCTAGATTCGAGATATTAGCCGTGAACCTTGTCGAACCGATAGCACAAATGAGCCCGCAACAAGAATGCAACTCAGTGGAAGGGCCACAGCGAAGTAGACCCAGAAGAATTGCTGGCCTGGCTTGAACTCTTCTGCCATGCTGAACAGGCCAGCAACCCAAGACAGGGGAATAAAGACAACCGCGACCCAAGTCAAGCGTCTCATATCCGCGGCCTCGGCCATGGACTGGCGCGCATTCGCCAGCTGCACTACCGACGGAATGAGCAGCATGGCGCCTTCTAAGGCGGTAGCGTAACTGCGAATGCTGCCGACAATCCAGTCCAGATCCCCAGAGACCAGTTTCCACAGCTCCTGATCCTTCTCAGAAGGAACATTCTGTTTCACGAAGCGACGCGTGGCTTCTAGTTTGGCATTGGATTGAATGGCACGGTGTCGCCACTTCTGGAGGTCGATAATCTCATACTTTCCTGCGTCCTTAACGTCAAGCCGTTGAAGAGAGACCTCGTAATATTCTAGGAAGCGAGCCAGGGTCTGCGTGTAGAGCATCCATTCACCTATGATGGCGCGCAGTGGGTAGTAAGCCAGACTCAGCAGCGTGGGATCGGCTGGTGGATTCGCTGCCAAGTAGGGCACCAGGTTGTGAAGGAAATAGCCACTCGATCCCTGGTGCTGCTCTTGGAACGACTGGAAGGCTGAAAAGGTGACCGGGCGCTCGAATCTTTCAAAGCCGCCGTGAAGTGGCCGCCGTTCAAACCCAGGACGGCTGTGTATGCTTCTGACATCAGCAAGGTGACTGTTTGTGGAATCAACGAGTATGACCGCTAGAAATGAAGGATGTCAGAAACTACAGAGTCGTTTGGTCAATCAAAGCAGCTTTGCTTCACCATACCTAGCCAGTATTTATCGAAGGTTCTTTTCCAAATCGAACAACATCCACGGAGAATGCCCAGCTGACGTCCCGGTAGTTCAGTCAGGCGTCTGACTGATCTTTCAACATTGCCTACTGTCCGGAGAGTCCACGGGAAGTCGTTTCCAGCACCGCCGATGACCGAGAGGCTGACGACCTGCTGTTAATGAACATGGAAGCTGGATCCATCTGCTAACGCCAAGGATGGAGGGAGAGCCGAGGACGGCGGCGCTGGAGAGTCCTCAATGTCATTGTACTGGGTACATAGGTCATCGGCAAAGAAGAGAGGATCAATCTCTAATGCCGTCGCTAGGGTTTCTAGAACGATGGGATGGATATCTTCAATGATGACAACGCGACCGTGATTTACTGGTGGAGGCTGAAGCGGCGACGATGAAAAATCAATGGCTGATAACTCTGCCTGGCAAGATAAGCCATCGCCATAGTCCACAGCATGAATCTTGCATGAGTGTTGTGGTCTATGAGAAGCTGACTTCAGGAACTTTGACAAGCTCCCAATGCAGGGATTCTGCTGCCCTCGAAAATCGGTAAAGTCGCGGTATGTCTGGGACATCGTTCCTGTGAAGCTAGCAATCCCGGGAAAGGCGACGGCTACAATGCTGCTTCATTGACTTCAATGGCAAAGCGTATGGGGAGACCCCGGTCGAGCTTGTCATTGAGAAATTTCGCGGATCGAAGCGGATCGACTCTCTTGACGTCTTTCCTCCTCACTACCATCCGAACCAAAACGAGGTAAAGATGACTCTCACCGAATGTGGTCGAAAGTTTGTATCATTGATGGGCCCGGGAAATGCAGCACCGGAGATAAGGGTTAGCAGTTGAATATGCGTACTGATCAGCAGTCAGTAACCAATAGTTGTAATTATGGTCGGCTTCTTTCCCAGTATTCCAGGTCTCCTTCTAGTCTATGGAAACTGAAGCAATACTATAGTACCCTACTATGGCCACTGGGTTTCCTCCACACGATACACCAGCTTGTATCCACTTACCTTGCCCTCCTTCATGTCCTTCATGCCATCAAGCACACCAAGTAGACCACCAGGTCTTACTTCACGTGGGTGTTCCATCCATTTGCCCTCACCCCAAAGCTTCTCCAGAAGGGGGAAGAACCTCTTCGCGAACTCCAGATATGTAGGTTGGGCTTCCCAACGCTTTCCCTCAAAGATGTATTCCTCGCCAGTGATACCATAGACGAGAAAGAAAATAGACTCAACGTCAGAACGAGGAGCATCGTACTCTCCTAGTAGGTTCACATAGGTTCCTCCTTTGCTGCTAAGTGCTTCGGCACTAATCTTGGCGGAAGACTCTTTACTGACAGTATCCAGAACTTTCATGAGCTTGTCGTCAGTCGCTTTGCGGATGTCTGCTCCCACGGTAGGAGAGTGCTAGACTTGATTAGCAACCTTTACAATTGACCACGTTCACAAGGCCTAGAGGAAACATAATCATACATAGTCAAATACCAAATCGGCGCCACGACCCTTGACTAGTTCAAAATGTTTGGGTGATGCGGTTGTGATAACGGTGTACCCGGCCCTGAAAAAATGAGTATTCAAGATTCGCACACGCTACTGTCATCAAAACTTACATTTTCGCAAACTGAATTGCGATAGTTCCAGTAGCCGTCGAACCTCCATAGATCAAAACAGTCTTATGGTCTTGGCCTGCATCGGAAATTTGGACGGCTTCGAGTCCTGGGAAGGGTATCGATAGAAATTTGAACAATCCAAGACCCATTGTGCCAACGGCACACGGTACAGATGCGGCTGCCTCCCACGATACGTTGTCGGGAACACGTATTACGATGTCGCCTTTGACTATAATGAATTTTGCGAATGCTCCCGTTTGTGGTCTAGCGTCATTACCTATTTCATTGAATAAATGTCAGTACTGTCCAGATTAACCAACATATTGTACCCCTAGAAACGAAGATATCGTCGTTTGCATAAATCCGACTTACCTCCATGAGCGAAGCCGGCAACTCTGTCACCTCTTCTGAATGGCTTCTCAACTTTTGGCCCAATCTCTTCCACTAGTCCTGCCCAATCACATCCTACTAACGTACCATTGTCACCGGGCGCATCAAGCGTTGTCCAATCGGTGGGGTTTACAGCAACTGCAACCACGCGAATAAGTAGATAGTCATCAGGTACTGTTGGGATAGGAATGCGCTCGAAAGCTGCCACACCGGTGGCTTTGCGAACCAGTCCGTAATTCGTTTCACCGATAACCATAGCGCGTGCCTTATTTGAGGTGAGGTTCAAGTGAGTAATTGGTTAGACCCGATTGTCGGGAGAACAAATGTGAAGGTGGATGAAGTGCTTAAAAGGAGCGAAAGTCAGGTCGTTGGTTCGTGATTACTCAGGTCGCCCGGAACCGAAGCCAATTGCCGAGCGGGCTAGTTATATACCATAAGTGTTGCTAATCCTTGGCCGCTACCCTCAAATTGCTGGCGCTGCCCCGCCCAATTACGGTGAAAGTAGGAATAAGTAAGCTTCGTGTCAATGAACACATTGATAGCTTCCGAGACATACTCTGCGTTCTTCTTTGGTTTGAGACTCACCATCCTCTGGTCATTGGTAAACCAAGCTTCTGCTCTTTAAGGAGCTCATTCCGATCTGACAAGAGCCATTTGATCTTGGACGATGATGATGTGTCACTGGTGAGCATTGACGTGGACTTTGGAGTCAGTTTTTGCTCAAATCCCTTTTTTACCTTGTCCGCCAAGACTCGAAGGCTGCTGATCATTTAAAAAACCGAACGGTTGGCGGACTACTCACCAACATGATCTTCAACCAGATGATGGATTTTCTGGACCAGTATCCCACCGCCGCCCAGCTCAAGCTATTTGGTTGAGTTCTTCCTCGCCTAAGCTGTTCTTGCAGCTCCGCTTATTAATCGGAGACTAGGGGTTTACGTCGTGGACTAGAAAGCTTTGAAAGAGCTCGCAAAGGCTCTAAAAGATAGTTTGACTCGATTGACCACGGTCAAAGAAGGGCAGCGTTTAATTGAGGATATTGGAAGCATATCAGTTGTCTGGCGTTTATTGCGATAAGTATTTATGGCGGAGGCGAGAATCTGCTTCTAAGGCGTTCGTAATATTTTGTGTATCATTGGTCAGGCACCTCGCGGGGCTCGCATTGGCTTACTGTGCGTTGCATAAGAGTTGCGAATTC